AGGGTAGGAGTGGCTCAGAGTGGAGTATTACTTAGCCCTCTTTAGGCCCTGAGCTATATGCCCTGGACCACAGGGCTGATTGTCTTTCAACCCATCCTAAGAGGCACAAGACACTTATGGACAACACTTTCAATGTGAAAAGCTGTCCAAAACTACAATGAAATAGAAAACAGGTAATGTCAAAGAAAAGAGTACAACAGCCTTCACAAAAATATGCTACTAGAACAGTAAGAACATATTTGCTAAACCAAAATAGTCAAAAGAAGATTGAAAGATAAAGGAAAACCTAAGACTAGAACCCTGTACTCAATAAGAAAATGTTCATGTGCATCTTTGGCAGTCAACTTAGCATAAACTGGCAATAGAATGTCCAGAAAAACAAAGGTATATACACTGAAAAATCAATCAATCAATCAATCAATCAATCAATCAATCAATCAATCAGTTCCCTAGTACCAAAAAAGACACATCTTTAAATTGAAAAAATTCCTGAGAACCCACAGAAATGAATTGAAACAAACAAAAACCTCAGACATACCTGGAATTACATCTCTGAAATACATACCAAAGATGGAGAAATTCTTAAAAAAAAAAAAAGAAAGAAAGAAAAGCCTACCATATATAGAAAAATATATCAAGATGCTACAGTTTTACTTGGCAATAGTGGAAGTTAGAAGTCAAGGCAATGTCTTCAAAATTCAAAAGAAATGTTTTCCAATTCATCGCTAAAGCAGTTATAAGCCAAAAGTAAAGATAAGTAATACATTTCCACGCATCTGAAATTGAAAACAGTTACAATTTTAGATGTGCTTTTTGGGGGGTGGGTAAGGTAGAAAGTTTCTCTCTTTCCATAGCCCTGGCTTTCCCTGAACGAGGTATTTAGACCAGGTTGGCCTCAAACTTGAACTGAAACAGATCTGCCTGTCTTTGCCTTCCAAATGCTGGAGTTATGTGCGCAACTATGCACAACTCTATAGATACCTATGTGACATCTTTTAAATAAATGTATAGTGTTTTTGTTTTGTGCTTTGGTTTGTTTAGACAGGGTCTCTCTACATAGCCTTGGCTGTCCTGGAACTCACTATGTAGACCAGGGTGCTCTTGAATTAACATAACACAGATCTGGCTGACTCTGTCTCCCAAGTGCTAGGATTAAAGTCACCAAGCTTATCGAAAGCCTTTAATGCCAATACTTAGGAAGCAGAGGCAGGTGGATCTCTGTGAGTTGAGGCCAGTCTGACCTACAGAGCTAGTTCCAGGACAGCAAGAGAAGCTGTCTTCAAAAATAACAGTGACAAAAGTCTAGAAAATCCCTAGCATGGCAGCAATGAAAAGCCCAGAACAGCTATGCACTCAGGATACCAAAGGGAAGCCAAAGCATCTGCTGGATGCAAGATGGGCAAAGTGTAGGAGCCAAGCTTTAGACACAGCAGAGTCTCTCTGCCAAGGAAAGGGAGACTAAGATGATGCTGGGATTTTACTAGGAAAAACAGTAAGACAATTAATTAGAGCACTATAGCTCAGTATAACCAAATTTAATCATCAACGCAGGGTGGGATGGAGGATGGGAAACAGGCATAAAAGTGCCTTCTCCAGCCCTACCAGAAGAGGATAGATGATCATGACTAAAATTCCCATCTAGACACACTATTCAAAATGAATACAACACTGGAAAGAAACGTTGAGAGAATGACTCATACATTAAGACTTTAAAATGTCTACATTACTACCATACAAAATTTTATGCCAAATGAAATAAAGCCAAAAGGGGGGGGGGCAAAAACTAACACCCCAAAAAAGTGTATTTTGCCAGGTACTGTGAAGAAAGCAGAAAGAAAAAGTTCACGCCTCAAGGAGATTATTTCTACTGAGTGAACAAAACAACAAAGAAATTTATAATACAATTAGAAAGAGTGATAAACATTACCCCGAAACCAGTAATTACACAGAGTTAATGCTAGGCAAGAAGTGGACTGCTTCTGGTAAATCTGTCAAGGAATGACTCTAACGAGTGAGTCCTGATCAGATATCTGAATGAAATCAAAGACTAGACTTTTCAAAAGTAGGATTCAGATATGCTCTAGGGGACTGGGAACAGACTTTGTTTGATGTGTAGGGAACCAGTGGAAGTCTAGAATTAAGAGCAGAATTAGCCCAAAGGAAAGGTTAGGACAACTGCCAGAAGAAAAAGGTACATTTATCAACAGCTGATAGTGCCCAGGTGGACAACACAGGGTTGACTAAGGAGAATAAAATGAGATAGATGACAAAATTAACAAGCTATTGTTTTTTGGTTATGAAAATGAACTAGATGTAAAAGTCTTTAATTTGTCTTTTTGGGTAAATGTATATCTGATGACAGGTGTGTACAGTCACAACACAGAAAGAAAGGAACAGGCTTATGGATGTTAGAAAATTTTTAAAATTTAAGTTAAAAAAACAAAACTTCAAGACTTTTAAGAGAACACACACACACACATGCATTTTATAAGAACACATAAACAACCACATGCTATTTCCTCTGATAATTTATCAGCCTTCTATTACAAAATGAAACAATACAAATTCCATTAAACAATGCATAGTTTAATAAACTTATCCCGAGGAAAGATATCTCACATGAAAGGATGTTTGGAAGTCTTTTTTTGTTTGTTTTTCGAGACAGGGTTTCTCTGTATTGTTTTGGAGGCTGTCCTGGATTTGCTTTGTACACCAGGCTGGCCTGGAACTCACAGAGATCTGCCTGCTTCTGCCTCCCAAGTATTAAAGGTGTGCACCACCAACGCCAGGCTCGCTTGGAACTCTTTGAGAAACCACAAAAGCAAGATAAGGGCGAGGAAAGATGAGAAGTCTGTGGTTGCTGTCAGTTCTTTCATACTGGCTGCACCTTACAACCATCTTGCCCCTAATGTCCACGTAACCCAATTTTAACTTAACTGGTAGAGTGAAGCCTTGGACATATTACTTCCATATTCAACTCTAACGGGGCACCACTAAAGAAATGTACAATGGTAAAATAGGAAAACACCAACACTAATAACCCTGTTTATGCAGATAACAAAAATTACAGACTAACACATGAATCTGATCCCATTACTCCCATTACTCCCTGTCAAGGAAAACACCTACCGACCAAACTCTTAAGTGATCCCCACGCTTTCCGTATTCAGTATACTGTCTGGGTCAGCATGTAAGAACCTTGGTGATATAGCTCCCTGGCTATCACTCCAATCTCATCAAGCGAACTACAACTGTACAGCCTTAATTCAACTATGCTCAGTTTCCTTGGGTGTGTTCAACTTACTCCTCTCTTTTCATACATTAGTCCATCTGCCGTCACCAATACGCCCAATCTACTCAGCCTACCTGAATTTGTCCCAAGCTCCCATTCATCATCAAGTCCAGGTAAACCTTACCCTGAAAGGCTTTGAAGAACCACCTGAGGATGATCAAGTGTTTCCCTGGCACCACCACGCCACACTTAGAAATAAAGCAATGTCTTTATTTTACACTAATGCTTGAGCGCTCTTCAGAGTACAGAGCAGGTATCGTGTTTGTAATCTCTGTAGCTACTGTGTCTAATTTAGGGCTGGTTTATCAACTAAGAACCTATTCATGAATGAGAATAAAGTGACACAACCACGAGCTCCAAAATTTCAGCAGGAAGGATAAAGAAATTTTAAACAGTAAGGGGGCTATGGAAGCTCAAACAATTACGTGAAGATGGATATGGACCACATGAAATCTTCATCATCTTCGACGGTTGCCTTTTCTAAGGAATCTAATGAACAGAGATAAGAGCAATAACCAGACTATAAAACGAGAAGCAACACTGATAATTTTTATTGCTTAGGCTTCTGTGTGCCCGTGTGTGTGATATCATATGTAATTTATTTGTATTTACACAAATTTAATTGTGTAATCTATATAATGCAATTATATATTGAAATATTCCTTGACATGATACATTTACAAGCATTAGAAAACGTTAAGTTGCTTTAAAAAAAACTATGTATTGCATTTATGGATAACACCGCTGGGAGCTGAACTCTGGACACTCTGAAGTCTCTTAAAAATGGTATTTATCTGTGGCACTTGCGTACATACACACACGTGTTAGTATGCTTGCATGTATTTATACTCAGAAGCTTGAAAAAGGGTTTTCTTTTTTCCTTTTAATCAACCCACAGGACAAGCGAACTAAAGCCATTTACATACATTTCTCGGCTTAAATCTACAAAACAGATAAACACCTTAATGGTAAGGAATTGGTACTCATAAAAACAAAACTAGCCTATAAATGACGCCCTACAAAATGAAACAAATGGAAAAAGAAACTGGTCTTAATTCTACGAAACCATTATGTTACAAGATTGCCAAAGACTTTATCACTAGGCCCCCTTTCTGTCCGGTACTAACTCTTATCACAGCTCATTCTAACTCGGAACAGGTTTTACAACTTCTAGGTGTTTCCTGACCTGTTTTTAGAATAATTACGGCCACGTAACACCTTACACATAACCGAAAGCATTTATTTTTTTTCCCAACGCCTACAGGAGGGGGGGGAGCTGTGCCTGTGTGTGAAAATTTCAGAAACCTATACACCTGAATACTCATTCCCGAGTCTTAACGAACAGAAACCAGAGCCAAGCCAGACAACGTGAAGGTGCACTGGCTTAGACGAGAGGAAGGTAAACAGTGCAAAGCTAGTGTTTCGGGTTTAAAAAAAAAAAAAAAAAAAAAAAGGAAAGTTTTGGGTTCCTGGAGACACTTTCCTAATCAGACCCAAGGCTGGTTCACAGAGGCGGAAAAGGCCCGCAAACAGTATGCAGGAATCTATTTCCACCTTGCTTGGCTAAAATCCGCACACGCATGGGATTCCCGGCCACCAGGTGCCTCCCCTGCCGGGGCTCGCAGTCCCCAGATCTGAGTTCTGTCCTAAACCGAGTCCAGATCTCAATCTGGACTAGCCGGCGCCGCGTCCAACCCGCTGGCCTCACCTTGGTTACAGAAAAGGCTCCACAATTTAGCGAAGATCAGCCCCATCATGAGCCCCGGGCAGGAGAAGCTCCCTGGGCAGCGCTGGGCGGCAAGTGCCGCGGCGCCCGCGGTGGAGCCGAGCCGAGGCCGACCCGGAGCCTCGGAGCCTCAGAGTCCCGCGAAGCTTTGGTCCTCCGCGGAGCCGGGAACCGCCGCAGACTCCTTTGTTCGCGGCGCGCTGAACCCAGCCCCGACCCGTAGTCGCTCCGTCTGCGCCCACCTACCCAGCACAGCCTTAACCGGCCGTGAGCCCCGCCCCCGCCCCGCCTCCCCGCCTCAGCCCGGGACCACCCATCGCCGGAAGGCCGGCACGTGACGTCGACGCGCAGACGTCAGCTGGCGCTCGGACGTGGCGGGTCCTCCCCGTGCACTTCCGGTGCGCGGGCCGTGGGCGGGTTGGCGTCAGCGGAGGCGGGAGTGGCGGAGCTGGGGATTTCCTCGGCGCGCGCTCCCTCTCCTGTCGCTGGGGAGAAGCGCGGTTTCGGCTCCAGGGCGACCCAGCTGCCACGTCCCTCAGGGCTAAAAGCCTGCAGAGACTCAGCTTGTGCGGTGCTCTGGCCGCGCGGGCAGGAGTGATTTTTCATTCCTGGTCCCCGCGGGCTGGCAGTCTCGGGATTCTAGCGTGATTCTTAATTCTTAGTGGAACTGATGGGGACAGGCGCGCTGGAATGCCCGTAGCCAGGATTCAGTTAAGTTTCTACAGGAAGACAGAGACCAGTTTGGGCAATACCGGTCGTTGATCTCGGAATCCTTAATAGTTGAAAACCGAAGTCTCATAAGCCAGAATAGTCCTTGAGGCCACCTGGCGTGCCCCACATAACGACAGACGAAGAATTTTTAGGACTGGTATAACAAAATAACTTACTCCATGACCTGTTCTAAATAAAACGAGGGAGTGTGGCTTAAGATGCTCCTACTGGTGCTGCGCTTCAAAGACCAATGAAGACTTGGGTACAAGATCATGCTCGCCAAATTAATGAGACTAAGCCCTAGCTGCTGTCTCTCATGTGGAGGAAAAGGCGCACTGATCTTTGAGCATTCACACATAGCTTAAATGACCATTTAGTTGGACTATGAATATAAACGGGTTTGTAATTGCGTAAGTAGATTTAAAGAGTCATAACTACTGGTTTCAGCCGACTTTCGGTTCTCTAACGTCCCTTTCAGGTGAGAATTTAGAAATTTAAAAGTTTTCCTAGCTAAAACAATTGATCGATGATGCTGACATATATAGCTGAATATTGTTTGAACAAATATAATGCTGATGTATGTACTGGTAATAGAAAAATGGCACTTAAGTTTTTGCTATATACTTGTATTGACTATATATTAAATTGCAATAGGAATGTTCATCAAGAATTTAATGAAATTAGAAGATTCTGAGAAATGCTTTTTAAATGTTGCTCATACAAACTTAATACTTTTTTAAACATCCCTTTAAGGTTTGGTTTACACTAATTTCAGTGTTGCCTTTGGTATAGAATAGGTAACATTGTTCTGTAGAATGGTGCCATTTGAAAATGTATATGATTTGAATTCTTGAGATGAGAGTAACTGTATGAAAATATCAGGAATATAGTCTATTGTGTTATGTGTTGATTGGAAATGACAATTTAAGTAAAATAGAATCCCAGTAAAAATTGTAAAGCAAAATATTTAAAAGGTTTAAATGCTAAATTAACATAAAATAAAATGAAATTTTAAGGAAGTAAATTGTTGTCTCACAGAGCTTAAAAAAGCAAAATTTTGTAGATTTTCTTAGGAGGAACCATTATAAACTGACCAGATGATACTTGGAAAAACTTGATGTCTTTGGCATTGAATTCAACTTATTAATCAGTTCAGTTAGATCAGTTTGTTCAGAGCTTTTAAAAAGCATTCAAGGAACTGTGTGTTCTGCCAGCTAAGGAGGAAAACCACTCTTCAAAAAACTCTTTAACCTTTCTCATGTCAATTGGGATTCTAGTCCAGTTGGTCCGTTTCCAGATGGGCTGGGATTGATTGTCCATCAGGAAGTTCTTTTCTGCCATATGGTTAAAGAAATCAATATAATCCATTCAGTAAATATCTGTTAGACACTTTTAGATTCTGTAGGTGATTGATGCAAACAATTTACTATGTTATTCCTGAAAGTAGGAAAGACCATACTGATAAATTTCTGATGAAAGTGCCTTTTACAGTCACAAAGAGATTGCATAATCTCCTGAATTTCAGAATATTTACTAGGCCAAAATATCTTTAACTCAATGACTATAGTCAGTCTTCTCATATTTTGTAAATGTTCCTTCTAACAGGTGCTTGGAAGCCTTCATCTTGTACAGTATTATCATTTGGGGGGCATGCTTACTCTCCTTCCTGGCTCAATGGAAGCCAAGGTAGTTTGTAAAATAAGATTTGTGGGAATTTTTTGAAGCTGAACAATTTTGTGAAATGCTCTATTTCTCTCCTCTTTAGAAACAACTGTACCCTGCCTTTTGTGACAATCCTGTACCTGAGGGTGTGACCTATTACACACATTTATGTAACCTCATTGAAATCCTGAAATCTGTGCTCACTCCTCCACTGCACAGACTACTAGTTAACTCCTGATATGTCAGAATTTGGGTCCCTTCAGTTCTTTCCTGCTGAGCAAAGACTGAAAGCTATTCCTTCAACATGGGTGATCATATCATCTAACACTTAGAGAAGGTTGGCCTTTTTCCAACACTCTTTTAAATCAGGTTATCTAATGTGTAGTCCACAGTGATACTCTAAAGCATGAAATATTATCTCCATTTAATAGATGAGAAAAGTAAAGTGTGAGAGCCTTTAATAATTTGCCCAGCGTTGCAAGAACTGCCTCATGTACCCTAGCAGTCTAGATCGGTAGTGAAATTCTTAGCAATTAAGAAGATATGACTCATGCAACAACCAGATAAACCCAGTACTCTCAAGTTAAAGGGATTTTGTTTTTGGAATCTTTATTGTTCATTTCTTTCCTAAGTAGCAAGGATACATTCAGAACAGAACAGCAGGGATTTAGGTTTGCAGTAGACGGACTGGTGGATCTTCACTGAGGTCTGATTTGTATTGAGTTGTGCTAATCCTCATCACTTCATAATCACAACAAGAGAAATAAGGATGTCCAGGTAAGATATCAACTATAATTTATAGAATTAAAGGTGAACAAATCCAAAAGCTGATGTGCTTAATCCTGGAAGCATTCTGAACTAGATTATCTTCATTCTTTGGCTTTCCAGACACTGTAGGTCCTAATTTGTAGTTTTTCAGATGACACCAACTGTATTTAAAAAGCTGACATACTGTATTGACAACACTAGATTTTTGCCTAAAAGGATGTGTATAGATGTCATGTTATCTTTATAGAACATTTAGGATTTATCAGGATTAGCTGGGTGTTGTGGTAAATACCTATTATCCTGTCTCTCACAAGGTTGATGCAGGAGGATTGTGAATCAAGAACACCATGGACTAAAAAATAAATAAACAAACAGAGCTAAGGAGAAATGCCTGTTAGTAAAGCACTTGCCATAGAAGCCTGAGGACCTGCTTTTAGATGCCCAGCACTTGAGTTAAAGTTGGGTTGTAGTCAGATTCTCCTTTGGGCTGCCAGCTCACAAATAAGGACCCAGTGACTTATTAATTATGAAAGCTTGGACTTAGCTTAGGCTTGTTCTTAACTAGCTCTTACAACTTAAATTAACCCATTTCTATTACTCTACATTCTGTTATTTACCACCCATCTGGTTTGTCTGTGCCCCCTTTCTCTCACCTAGATTCTTCCTCCTTTCTCTCTCTGCCTACACCTCCTGCCTACCTATTGACTGTCCAGCTCTTTATTATACCAATCACAGCCAATATACATTCACACAGTGAGCAAATATCCTACAACACTGGACCAGTAGTGTTTGCCTGGAATTCCAGTGCTGGGAATGCAGAGACATGACATGCAGATTCCCGGAGTTTTCTGGCTGGTCAATCTAGCTAAAGTGGGGAGCAATTGTGACTGCTGCATGATCTCTAGCTTTCACATGCAAGTGCACACATATGTACTTGCACCTGTGCACGCACGCACAAATCCGAGAGAAAAAGCAATGCAATGAAAGAAAAAGGAGTAAGTTCCCTTTACTGCAGAAGTCTAAAATCCAGAATTAAGATTCTGTTCCCAGATCAATCTGTAATAACATCCTCAGAGATGAATGAGGCTAGTTGCTACAGAAAAAAAATAAATGTGAATATGATAAAATATAAAGTGAGAAAGCTAGATAGAAATTGGTTTCACTTTTTTTTGGCATGGAGAATGAAGAAACTACTTTGAAATCAGTGTTTCTTTGTCATTTGAGATTATTACCCCTGTCAGGCTTTCTAGATCCCCCCTTTTCCTTGTGACCCCTCCTTATGAAATTAAATAAGGATTAAACTTTTTATGTGAAGGTCAACTTTAGAGTACCACAAACAAGATTAAAATGCTGAGATTATATCTGGAATTTATTCCTCCCATCAGTAGCTGCTTGGGGGTCATACTATCCCATTAAAGAATGCATAGACTCAGTGACTTCTGCATGGGTGTTTTCCTTTGGGAGTCTTCCTTAACTTAGACAGTACATGCTCACTCTGCCAACTGCAGATTTATGTCACGTCTTCTTGGTTCCAGTTGTACACCACTAGCATACCTATTCATCCACATAACTGCCATTAAAGTTGTATCTAGTCAACATTATAGATGTCTGGTCACTATTCAAGTGTCAGAAGTAATGAAATACTTTATATCAAATATATGTTTAACAGCACTTTCCTTTCTACTTCATAAAGTTGTGTGTGTGTTCAGTTAGTCATTCAGGGAGTGCCCTTTATATGTCAAACAATGAGTACACTATGTGGAAACGAAATTTCTCCCTCGTGGAGTCTGTATTCAAGTCCAAGTTTTCTTTACTTCTTAAAGATTTCTACTGCAGCTAGTGTGTCAGGGTAACTACACAAAATGGCCTGTCAAATCCCTCTGTATGGTTGGCTAGTCCTCTGAATCCTAGTCAAAGCATCCATGTTGCAGCAAGATGTAACTTACCTATTGCAGCAGAACAGGCCACCCTTCCCAGGCTGGACAGTGTCTACTGAGACTAACAGGATGGCTGGTGACAGCAAGGATAGAGCACACATAGACATGTAGCCTTTCCCAGAGTTTAATGCATCTGTGCCTCCCATTGCTGTTTGAGCCTGGGTTACTTCTACTGCTTTTATATTGGTAGTTCTCTGAAACTAGTTTTATGTCAACTCTTATATTGGCCTACAATATAGCTGTATAAAATAGGAGTGTGGTGAAAATTTTGGGTGGTGCGGCTAGCTACCCATGAAGTCTCGATCCTGCTGTAAGTAAGCCTAGCAAATTTATTTTTCCAAGCTTTACTTGCCAAGTTTGTCTTTGGCCACTGCACTCTTCTTATTCTGGTGAATAGATGTTAACGTCTTCTCAGGAAAGTCATGCAACATTTTCAAAACCTGTGTCTCAGACATTTTCTTTACTGATCCAGATGATTAGGCCAGGAAAGAACCCATGCATTCATTGAAGATGCATGACACTGCAAAAGGATTAGGTATTGGTTTTTTGAAAACAACTTACTGGTCCTAAGCCTTTTTTTTTTTTTTTTAATGAGACCATGGAAAGTTATTTCAGCCCCTGGAGCCTTGGTTTACTGCTTATAATTATTTTGCCATTGTCACAATATTTTCACCTAGTAAAGAGTTGGCATGCCATTGAAAGGAGGAGATACTTTTTTTTAAGCCAATGTGAAAACTTAAAATATTTAAGGAAAATAAAAACCTCATCAACCCTTTTCTATAGTTATCTGTGAGATACTGCCCAAAACAACAAAAAGCACAAAAACAAAACAAAAAAAGCCCACGAAGCAACAGAGACAGAACTGTTCATCTTTAAGTATAAAGCAGCCCATTGACTTTGTTTACTTATTTTTAAATTATTTTCACCTCATTGATCATTAATCACATCAAGGCTTTCCCGAGCTCTAAAGTGCGTTAACTATGACTAATTGTAAACGCTATTAGGGCTCTTATATTTTACCTGAGTACTCGTGGGTATTTGGGATGGAGAGATGGCATAACAGTAAACAGCACTTGTTCTTGCAGAGGACCCTGGCTCCATTGCCAGCACCCCTATGCTGGCACAACCATCACAACTTCGGTTCCAGGGCATTCAGCAGGCAAGCACATGGTACACATACATGCACGCGGGTAAACGTTCGTACACATGGTGTAAATAGTCTTTGTTTTTAAATTTATTTATTATGCATACAGAGTTCTGTCTGCATGTATTCTTGTAGGTCTGAAGAGGGCACCAGATCTCATTACAGATGGTTGTGAGTCATCATGTGGTTTCTGGGAATTGAACTCAGGAGCTCTGGAAGAGCAGCTAATAATGTTCTTAGCCACTGAGCCATCTTTCCAGCCCCTACGTCTTTATTTATAACTCTATGTTTGAGTTATGTTGATTCACAACTGATGTCAGATTCATGTGTCCCAGGGAGAGAAATAATTTCATGAAATCCAATTTCAAATACATTGTGGCCTTTACTGCCACTTGCACCGGGGACACTAATTGAAAATCTCCCTAATTCTAATTAGCTAGATACTCTGCTCAATCCATCCAGGGTGAACCAGGAAAACAGCTTTTCTCGCAGGAAGAAGCACCACCCTCAGGAATCAGAACTGGAGATGATTGGCAGATGCAAATTTGGCGTGCAGAGAAAGGTACGCAGGCGCCGGAAGTGACGGAACCAGGAAGCGACTTAATGCTCCGGAGTTGGGGGCGCGGTTTTGGAAAATAGTATGTCCGAGTGGAATTCCTCGCAAGCCAGTTTTCCGATCTGCATCTAGGTACATTTATTTGTCACTAAGCCGTGTTTTTGTTTTTTGTTGTTTTTGTTTTTTGGCGCAGCGTCTCAGTGGCGTTTGGCGCTTTCTCACAGCACCCCAGAGAACGACAAACCCTGGACCCTGCTCACTCCTGAACGCAGCCCCTAAAGGCATTTTGTTTGTGCTCTGCCATTGGCTGGCAAGACTGTTGGCTGTAATTCGGAAGAAAGAAAAAGAAAAGGGGGGGAAAACCGCTTCCCAACATTTTCTTGAACAACTTAAAACAGAAAAAAGAAATGCCTATTTTTCATAAGATATCTTTGAGACCTGAAGTTGAAAACTATCTCAAACAGAGCTTTATGAACGAGGAGGTAGGTCATATAGGTAGATATTTGCAACAATTCAAGTACAACTTTTAGGGAAGCAGAAAGTAGACTAAAGGATAATCTTTATAGCCTTGGCTTTTGACATTAGACTGTTGGAATGTTTAAAACCATTTTTCCTAGGTATTGATGCTTACTAGGATAAGATGAATATATGTGCTCGCATTTAGATGTAAGAAAAACGTGTTATGTGCCTATCAGTACACTTAGTAATGAAGGGATATCAAAACCAACAGGAAATGTTCCCTGGCCATTTAACTAGATGAACCTGTTGTTTTAAAGCAATGCTCTTGTACTCGGTTGAAAAGGGCACACCACGGCACACCACGAGTGCCTTTTTAAATGCTGTCGGTTGTTTGATGATAAACGTTTACATTTTAGTCTTAAGCAATCTTGGTAGAGAGATTTGGTCTCATTTTTAAGAAGTGAGATCAGAGTCAAAGGAATCCTGTCACACACCCAAAATGACATAACTATCAAACAACTAAAGCTTATATGTAAAAAGAAAAAGCCAGATTTAGATCTCAAAAGCTTTATTTATTTACTTATTTATGTTTTAATTATTGAGATAGGGCTCTTCACATAGTCCTGTCTGTCCTGGAACTCACATCTTATACCAGTCTGGCTTCAAACTCACAAATCCATGGCGTGCCCCATCATACCTTGCTGGAAAGCATTATTTTTGCATGAATTACCTTGAAATAATTCTCACCGGTAAAGTTTAATTTATTCTGTGAAAATCAAATAGGTTTAAAAGTACTTTCAAAGGTTGTCTTGGGCATCAAACTTAAGTGAAAGCACCTACATTGGTTTGGCAGGCAAGTCTTCAAAAGAGTGTTAATTACTTGTTACTGGCCACACTTAACCCAGAAATTCTCAGTGAGTGTTGATTGCCTTCTAATGAAGAAAGATTCTTACATGTTCTGATTACCCTAACCTGCCCCCCCTAGGCAACTTGGGTTTTGTTTTTTTTCTAAATTTGCTTTTTATTTTGAACACTATTAGAGCTGGTGTCAGTATTTAGGCATCTGTACTGGCCTGCCTTTGGACTTTTGATAGGATAAGCCCTCAGCTGCAGTCACTAAGAGCACCACATGTGACTATTCACTAAGTTCCCTTTTAAAAGGGCTACCTCCCTCCCATCCCTCTCTTTCTCTCCCTCTCTCAGTCTGTATCTCTCTCGCATGCTCTCTCTCTCTGCCTCTCTTTCCTCTCTGTCTCAGAAAGTCAGTTTCTCCCTCCCTTCCCCCCCTTTACCTTTCTTTTCTCCTAATTAAAAAAAAAAAACCTTCACTTGAATTCGGTCACACGGTGTCTTTCTCTCTTGAGCTGCTTTTTAAATTACAATAGCTGGGACTTAAACTGATTTATATGTCTTATCTCCAGATTATGTTAAGAGGATTGACTATATGGAGAGAAAAAATGTTTCATATTTATCTCAAGGGTCCCTATAGAGAGTATGTTAAGAGAGGAAGAAACAGTTAGCAATCATTTTCAGCAGTTTTATACCCAAAAGGTATATGAGTTAAAAAATAAAAAGGTCATTCTATTTTTAAACCACTTTGGAAAGAAAAGAAATGATATCAGCAAAACTAAAAACTAACCCTTAAATATGTTAAGACTGATAAGTACACACTGAGATTGAAATCGTGGTTCTTTCCATTTCAGGTTGTGTCTGCTTCAAGCAAACAAGAAGCAGAAAGGAGGTTTGAAGCTCTGCTGATTCACCTGGCACACCCTCCATCATTCACAACTGTCAGAGTCAATACACATTTAGCATCAGTTGAGCATGTCAGAGGTCTGCTGCTCAACGAGCTTGAGAAGGTTTGTGCAAGTGTGATATGTTATACAGTTACACTTTTATAGTCTGACAGTGTGCTCCACCAAAATCCCACGAACAATCGGACATTCCAATTTTTTTTAAACTTATGAGTGTGTGGAGTTTATTATTTTCATAATTTTTAAACATAGTGGAAGAGTTAATGGAATAAGGAATATATTTAGATGTAGACATATTACCTTTTACATGCTCTTAGTGTTCAATTAAATCATATACATTTATGATAGGTTGGCAGCATTTAAGCAGTACATGTCAACTAAGTATATGCTGTAACTGTACTTCTTAATATGTTTCCACTCAAGATAGAATCCTGCTGAATAAAGAAATTTAAACATTTGTGAATAGTCCAGTTCTATAAATAAGAAAATTAAGTTATGAATATTAAATTGTTTTAAGGTCATAAGAAGAGAGGCTAGAATTCTGATTCTAAATTTATTAGTACTTAGGATAAGTTTTTAAGCCCTATGGCTTTTATCCTTAAAATATATGAAGAGATCATTCTGATTCATAAACTTAATCATATAATGAGCAGCATGGAATGATTAGGAGGGCTGTTTGTACTCTAAGGTTCATTCAGAGATATGATACAGTCATTGGAATGTTAGTGTGTTATATGCCACTGGAATTGATTCAGTTATCTCTTTTGTGTGTGTGCGTGTGTGTACATGTATGCATGTTTGGGGTAGGGGAAGGTGCATAAGTACATATCTGTAAAGGTCAGAGGTCAACCTTGAGCATTGTTCCCCTGGTGCCATCTACCTTACTTTGGAGACAAGGTCTCTCCTTGACCTGGAGCTCACCGACTTCCCAGAGTTGGGATTACAAGTGTGTGCCACCACACTTGTCTTTTTTTTTCTAACCCACGCGTAGGTTCTAGGGACCAAACTGGGGTCCTCATGCTTGTATGGCAAACACTTTCCCAGCTGCACTATCCCCCAGGCTCTTCCTCTCTCTTTAATCTCATCATCTTCGTGGAGCATCTGCCATGCCATGCTGTTTTGGGGGATAGTTCTATACTTTCAGGTTGTACAGGTGATGGTGCTATCAAAAGAAACAAGTAAGACTTGGTTTTGAGTTCCAGAACTCTAAACACAGACAAAAACTCCACAAAACCTAGCTTGGACATGTGAGCATATGACACTAGGATTATTAAACAAAACATGAAGATGTTTCCTCATTGCTAGTGATGCTGTTGTTGAGAGCAGTGACAGACATAACACATAGCAGTTTTTTAACAACCAGAAAGTACATATTCACTACCATGCACATTTACCTTTGGCTAAAAGGAAAGCAACTGTTTCCAGAGTATTGGAAGGTGTGTGAAAGGCTACAGAATCCAGTTTGCTTTCATTTCTAATGACTGTCCTACTCTGGTATCCTAGTCTGATAGAAATAGCATCTAAGGAGCTACCATCTAGAGTAGGACAGAGTCACACTAGACTTTGAGTCCTTTACAGTTAAGTAGTAAAGGAGGGGCCATTGAGATGTCTCAGTGAGGTAGGGAACTTGTTGCATAAGCCAGAATTCATGTAAAGGTGGGAGGAGAAAACCAACTTCATACAATTGTTCTCTGACCTCTACATTCACACTGCACTTACATATGCTAATAATAATAATAATAATAAAAAATAATACAAAAGGAATAAAGCTGAGCAGGAAAGCCCAAGCAGTTGGCACTCGATGGGAAACTGATAGAACAGTTCCTCGTTCTGCAGGGAGAGGGGATCAGCAGTGTGAGCCTGGACACTTCCTTCTTCTACCCCAAACTCAATGTATGCCAAGAACAGCTCAGATGGACAAACACTTGGTGTTCTATGCTCACATTTCTCTGACCACATATTGGGATAATGTCCCTTGGCTAGTGAGAAGGAAGAAGCTGGGACCTTCCTATATTATAGTTGGTAACCTAAGATAGTGAGAACTCTCTGGAAAACAGTGTTATCTCCTAAGGACTTATGTAGAAATGTACAGTGTACCCTAGTAATTCCACTCCAAAGCATCTACCTGAAAAAGTAAAAACGTTGTGTTCAGAAATTCCTGGCTATGAGTTTACATAGCAGTATTAGTTTAGTGAACAGAGGATATGATCCAACCAGTGACAGATAATTACAGAATATTCATATGGTGAGATACTGGTCATCAATATAAGTAGTTATTGGCATATACCATGGTATGGTTTCATCTCAAGACATGAAATAAGAGACAAGATATCATATCTTGTATTACATAAAATGTTTAGGAAAGGCAAATTATACAGAAAGAAAGATGAGCAGTTGTGTAGGATGGCAGTGGGGAATGCTGGCAGAAGGACTTGGGAGACTTGTGGGGTGATGGAAGTGATCTGAAACTGGGTTAGGGTGATGATTGTGCAGTTTTTTAAATGTACTGAAAATCGCAACACATATATGGAATGGGTGGATTTTATGACATATAAAGTATACCTTTGAAAGGATGTTTTAAAAGAGGGAGGAATGCAGGGGTGAGATGATTTGGTGGGTAAGGGTGCTTGCTGCCAAGCCTGATGACCTAAGTTTAGTCCCCAGAACCTGCATGGTGAAGAACGCTGACAAGGTGTCCTGTGACCTCCACATGTACACCTTGGCTTGTGATCCTTTCCCTCAATAGGCAAATAAATGTCAAGTACAGCTTGCAGTAACAATACAGTGGCTCACATTAACCAACACATTTTCAAAGAAAAACTACCCTGACTTAGGGTGTTTGATAACTTTATGTGTCATAAACAGTGGCATCAAATTTATCTCAAACTTCTAGTGTAGCCACAGAGTTGCAAAGAGTTCCCTCAGTGAGTCTATCAGTAACTTACTGCTCCAGCCCTTCTGTGAATTTTCAGTCTAACCAGCTAAGTATAACAGATTTTCAGAATCCTGAACTTCAAATAAAAGTACATTTTGATATCAAAAATGACATGGCCTCCAGTGTTCATGCTATACATCATATTTAGTAATTTCAATCTTTAATGTTCTATTCCGAAACTTGTCAGATGACTCTGTGCATGAGATAGGATTTGATTAGGTGTCCAAGGCTCACCTGTAACTCACAGGTGAAACAGGCCTAAATCAAGCTTTCTGCAGCGGGAGATGGTGACATGGTGAAGCAATTTACGAATTTACGAATTTATGAATTGCACTGGGCTCTTCATCATGGTGTTGGAAGTGACATGGAGAAGCCTGTGAGGTTTACCGAGTGCACTGGCTGCTCTACCATTGTGTGTGCTTGTTTTTAACAGCAGTTCAGTGGATCCAGTGTTCCTGTTCTTCAGCATCCAGCCCTCCCAGACGTCTTACTCATCCCTGTGACTGGACCAAGGTTTGTGACTGTTTCCTTTTCCTTTTATTCTTCTAAATTAATATTTCTCCCAAGATCTTTGCTTGTTGACAGTATTGTCTGCATTCTTAAGAACTCCAATTTGTAACCACATACTTCATCCTCTGGTATGCACTGTGCTGGAACACTAGGACTGGACCTTGAAAATAATGCATCTTTTATCTGTTTAGTGCAGTGATGGATGTTATTCTAATTTTTTTAGAAGTTTAATTTGTTTACTTGTATTATTAAAAAGGATTTATTTATTTTTATTTTATGTATACAAGTGTTTGCCTGCTTGTTTATAGGATACCATGTACATGCCTAGTGCCTTCAAAGGCCAGAAGAGGGTATCAGATCCACTGGAGCTGGAGTTACAGACAGTTGAAAGTTGCCATGTGGATGCTGAGACTGAACCTGGGTTCTCTACAAGAGCAACAAATGCTCTTAACCGCTGAGCCGTATTCCCAGGCCCTGTTTGCTTTCCTTCCTTCCTTCCTCCTTTCCTTTCCTTTCCTTTCCTTTCCTTTCCTTTCCTTTCCTTTCCTTTCCTTTCCTTTCCTTCCCTTCCCTTCCCTTCCCTTCCCTTCCCTTCCCTTCCCTTCCCTTCCCTTTCCTCCTTTCCTTTCCTTTCCTTTCCTTTCCTTTCCTTTCCTTTCCTTTCCTTTCCTTTCCTTTCCTTTCCTTTCCTTTCCTTTCCTTTCCTTTCCTTTCCTTTCCTTTCCATTCCATTCCATTCCATTCCATTCCATTCCATTCCATTCCATTCCATTTTGAGACAGGATTTCCATGTGTGTAGTCTTGGATGTTCTGGGACTCACTCTTTAGACAAGACTGCCTCTGCTGCCCGAATTCTGGGATAAAGAAGTTCACCACCACTGCCAGGTTACTTATATTTCTTATGAGATTCCAGCATTAAAATGTTTTTTGAGTTGCAAAATAAATAAATAAATAATTAAAAGTATTGTATTTTGTAATTGGGTTTGTAAAATTTTATACTTAACAATTATGTCAGCTTACTCTTTGCCAGGTGTGGTTCTCCTCATTAACATATTTGGAAGATGTATTTTTGAAAATTGAAAAGGAGACTTGTATATTATAATGAGGATGTTTTTCCCAAGTAGCACATCAAAGTCCCTAATTATGCTATAAAATATTTAAACATGAATGATAGGCTAGCCTTGTTTCCAGAGCTAGTACCAGGACAACTGAGGCTGTTACAGAGAGAAACATTGCCTCAAAAAAAAAAAATTAGACTTGAGTTGTGGTAAATATAAATTTCGAAGTAATTTGATAGTAACAAAACAATGATTTTATAAATTATGTTTTGCTTGATCCATGCAATGAAATAATCATGTAGCCATTAAGATGGCAGAGTTTTATGAAGCAATATGAGATGTTTATGATCTGTTAACTATCAAAAGCTAGCTGCCACATTTAGAATAATTATAATATTTTGCAATTAAACAGAAAGCTGTACATTTTTTGTATTTATATATAGAAAATGTTTAGCTATACCACATCCACCTATGAACAGTTGTTCATGCTAATGAGGTTATCTTAGAGAAAGGGGGTTTTATTTACAGCATTTTTATTATAAGCATGCATTAGTTTTGCAATTAAAATGTGATTTAACAGGCTGGACAACTGAACAGAGGTGCTGTTTCTATACTCAAGATAGAGGCATGGCATGTGTATAGTTTGCTAAATGTATATCTGCATAAGCAAAACTCAGCCCACCACAGTGTACAACACTTTCATCATCTTGAAAAACTTTCTTGTATTCATTCTTCTCCTCTCCCAGATAAGCCATGTTGATTTTGCTTCTTATTTCTGAAGCAATGACTACGATAGATGGTGATCACAGGTCATTTGGTCTACATTTTTTATGTGGATGCAAAATTGCAGTTCATTAGCTTCAGCGTTTGGCTATCTCATTATGTAATAATACTCTTACTTTCATTAATTTTCTATGTTGTTTTCTTTTCTCTCCTCACATGGAATATGAGGTATGTAGATAGGTAGGCTGTACAGCAAGCACATCCTGACTTGGAACTCTCAATCCTTTTGCCTTAGTCTCTCTAGGCTGGGATACTAGGCATGCTATAGCACACTAAGTTTTAGTTTGTTGCTGTTAGCCAGTAGAATTTAATTAGGTTTTGTTTACTTTGTGGAAACTAAGACAATTTTATCATTGTTGTCAAAAGTGATGCAGTGACTATTTAATAGAGTTGTGTAAGCAGTCTGCAGAGTTAATTCTCATGGTGTGAGAATTAAAGTGGCCCTTTGCCAATAGTATATTACGTAAGTTGTCTGTCTTCCTACTTTGTTTTTCTCGTTTCTCCAGTGGGAACTAAAAGCCTTTTCCAGCTGCAGACTATGGTGGGGCTTCAGTAATTGGTTTGAATAGTGCATGTGCATTAAATATATTTCACTAAGAGTTAGCAATTCTTGCCAGGACGTGGTGGCATACGCCTTTAATCCTAGCACTCGAGAGGCAGAGGCAAGTGGATCTCTGTGAGTTCAAGGCCAGCCTGGTCTTCAAAGAGAGTTCCAGGACAGTCTCCAAACCTAAAGAGAAACCCTGTCTCGAAAAACAAACACAAAAAAACAAACCTAAACAAAAACAAAAAAATTAGCAATTTTTGCCTGCTTCTAACTAAATTTTATTTTAGAAATTTTGCTACCATTGTTTTCCTAAATTAAAACAGTTTTTGTTTTTGTTATTTTGTATATTCACTGTTCTTTCTCTATTTTTTATTATTTTTTGAGTATATTTGAAGACACAGAGACATATTTGAAGTATTTCCCCTTTTGTGCTCCCCCCTTAGTCTGCCTTTTGTTTATTAAGATTATTCTATTGGTACCATGGAGGCACAGGTTCCACATTGCACAAATTCTTTGTGCATATTTCTCCTTTCTTTAATAGTTTTATGTATCTGTGTGTGGGCTTGAGTGTGGAAGTCACAGGAGAGCTTGCAGGAGTGGGTTCTGAGGATCTAATACTTTTATCCACTGAGCCACATTTGAGAAACTGTGGTTCATCTGTGTAGTTATTTCTACATCAGTAGAAATACCAGTTCTAAATCTTGAAAGAAGGAATGCTAAGGATATTTGCTGCTGTTCTTTGGGTTTTGGTGACTGGTTTCACTGTTCTATATAGGATTCTCTTTTAACAAGTTCCAAGTTACCTTCCTGATTCAACTTCCTGATTTGTTGGGTCTAAAAGTCTCATAGTGCTGTGACTAACTGGGTGTTAAGATTACTGGTGGTTAGCATAATACATGGTGGCATGCTTTGAAGGTGTAGGAATAAGCCTCTTTAAGAAGTAGCCACAGAATGTAAATGCATGGGACCAGGAAGGTGGGAAGTTCCCAAGTGCTGTGAGATTTGGTCATCAGATATCATAGGGGAAAGATGGGAAACAGTTTACTCCACAGTGAGTGGTGACAACACATGAGGAGTACTGCCAGCAGAGAAGTTCATTAGGAATGCAGTGCTCAGCACTGGCCGGTCAGTCTAGCACCTTCTTGGTCTCTGAAGAGTTTTCCCTGTTAGGAATGATGCCAGGATTTTAATAGTGAGAGAAAAGAATCATCTGAGTGTAAGAAAGTGGAGAACTTAAGGCTGAGCAAGAAATGAGGGAAAATAATTTTCTTCTGCTTATCTTAAAATATTCATAATTTGCCATGGAACAATATACCTCTTTAGAAGTATTATCATTCCCTTTGTATTTTCATGCTTTAGGATTTGAAGGCAGCAAAATCTATTTAACTCCTAATGCTGTTTAAATGACCAAGTATTGCTTGTTAATGACCAAGCAGGATAGTCTTTTCAAACAATATTTTATTTTTTTTAAAGTTTTATGTACTTATACTGTATGTATTGATCATTTCCATTCACTACTATCTCTAATGAAACGTTTAGAAGGCTTATGGTACTAGGAATATTATCCTTTATTTTTTTGTTTTTAAATATTCTTAGAAGGAATATAGAAAAGCAGCAGTGTGAAGTGATTGTTGGAGCACAGTGCGGCAATGCAGTATTGAGAGGGGCCCATGTCTACGTTCCAGGAATCGTGTCAGCTTCAAAATGTAGGTATAAAATTTAAGGTACCCTACAGTTCATTAGTGTGATCAGTTGGAAATTTGCATGCATTAAATCCACGTTTGTTATGTATTTCCAAATAAGTTTGATGATTTCTTTGAATAGTTTACTCAACACAATGTAGAGTCACTTGGGAAGGGAGTCTGCAGGGGATTGTTTAGATCCCATGGTTTGTGGGCATATTTGAGGTAGGTTGTCATGATAATGTTAATTGGGTGGGAAAGCTTGCCTGGTATTGGCAGAATTCCTTGGGAAATGGGATCCTGGTTTGCTAGCATGTGTGCTCTTGTCTGGATGTATTGGGACTAGCAGCTTCAAGTTCTTGCTGCCTTGATTTCCCCACAGTGATGTACTGGAGCATGGAACCATGAGCCAAATTGACCCTTTCTCCTTAAGTTGCTTTTATCACAGCAGTAGGAAACAGAACCTAAGACACTTAGGCAGCCACATAAAAGGTTTTTGTCACTGTTCTGCTTTTCTACCTAAGAACTGTTATGGTGATATTTCTCTAGGGAAAAGAGAAATGCAGAACGTGAATGGAAGTGAACAGACGGAATGTTCATAGTTAAGAGCGCTTGCTGCTCTTGTAAAGGACCAGAGTTCCCTTTCTACCATGTCAGGTTGTTCACAACTGCCTGTAACTAGCCTCTGCAGTTACCCTTATACACATGACACAAGCTGGATGCCTGTGTGCACACAGACATTTATTTTACAAAAGGTAGTGAAGTTCATTTTACATTTCTGACTTCATTACCTTAAAACTTCTATCTAGTCTCAAGACATTTGTGAGGGTGACATCTAGAATCCAGACAGTGGGATGAACTTGGCGTTCTTCATGGCTTCATCTGGTGATGGTCAACTGCGTGTGCTTTGCTGCCTTACTGGATTTGTATCGAGAAGCACTGGTTTAGATCTATTATAAATGTGTTCAGTTCCTGGATGTCACCCATCCTGTGTATAATTATCTGGAAAATGATTGCTTGCTAGTCTACTTTAGCCCTGATTTCTTTTTTACTGTACATTTTTGTTGAATCCTTTTGTAGGCAACTTAGAATGTTGAGTCATGATACTAAGGCTTATATAACAACTTTTACTTAGCATTAGATTTGGGGAAAATAAGTCATATAGATGATGCCTCCTGTTTAGTTGAAGATTTAGATAGTATGTATTGAGTACCATTTCTGTGTTTTCATGGAAAATCGTTTGTCCATTTAGATGTTAGGGAATATTTAAAAGCTAAGAGTTGAGTTGCTATTGAGGATTATGCTGAAATAATGAGCATTGGATTGTTTCTTGTCCATAATTGATGTCTCTATGGATAACCATTTTAGCCTGAATGATTTTTACTAGTCTGCCAAAACACAGATTAACAGTCTGATTTTCTTCTTTAACCTAGTTATGAAAGCTGGAGATGTTATTTCCGTATATTCTGATATTAAAGGGAAATGTAAGAAAGGAGCCAAAGAATTCGATGGAACTAAAGTATTTCTTGGAAATGGAGTTTCTGAACTAAGCCGTAAAGATATCTTCAATGGGATACCGGATCTGAAGTATGTCACCAAGCTCTGTGGGGGAAATAGCATCCTTTCTGTGGTTCAAAAACTCAAAAGAGTGAGAAGGTGTATTTTGTTACACTACATCAATTTTTCAATGACTTCAATTGGAAAAAATGAGCCCATATTTCCATGATTTGTGGAAAGAGGTCTTTTCTGGTCAAGAGGGGTAAGTAGATTAAAAACCAAAGCAGTAGAATGTGGATGTAGCTCAGTGATAGTATTCATTGCCGCTCTCCATGAGGCCAGGCTTCAGTCCTCAACTATGCAAAACAAAACAGAAAGCCCAGGTGAGTGACTGAATTTTACTTGCCCTTTTAGATTTTAATTGTTTAAACTTTTAAGAACAATACTTAATAGAGAATTCTATGGTTTCTCTTTTCAAGCATTCTTATTTTGTCTAAGAAAAGTTTTAATTTTAATGCAAATCAAATATAAAAAATTATTTTAAACAAAACTAAATTAGACCTGAATTGTAACACTCATGAATGTTTACAGTCAAACTAAATGTTTCAATTTGTTCAAGCCACATAGAAATAAAATTAGTTCTATATCATATCTGGATGTTGGTTGCGCTAAGCAGATTAAAGCCATGAACACACAAGGCCCTGATTAATGTGGTTCCTTCAGCTTGTTTTAGGAGTCCTTTAGAGCACCATTACTCCAGAGCTGGCACCTGACACACGTATGCTAAGCATGTGAACTGAGCTGTTTAGAATGGGGCCAGAGTCCTCATTCATGGACAGATTGTCATATTGGAGCAGTTTTGCTACATGGATGAAATCAGTTCTCCTATAGAAACAAATGATTAGGCTCTCGAGGTCTAAGAAAGAAAAACTTTCCAAATAGTTGGAACCTGATTTTATTCCCCTTAGAAAGTTTTGTTGATGTAGTTATGTGTCTGTGTCCATAGCATTGACTGCTCACTTTGGTTGAATTTTAACAGTGTTCCTCATTTCCCCATTTGATGCAGTGTTTCTAGTGATGTATTGGACCATGTTTGCTTTTCTGGTGAAAGTAAAAGGTAGCCATTCTTCAGAGAGCCTGTCAGTTTTCTCTGCCAGTACCTGGGAACTCTTTCCCTCTTTGATAGTTATGGAGCACGGCACTCAGGTGCAGTGTTTGTCTTTATGAATCACTGTACACCATGCCAATCTGTGTCCCTGCCCTTCCTGTTCCCAGAAGCTCCACTGCCACTAGTAAAATGGGACAGAGGTAGAAAAGGTCATATGGGGACTGTCAGTACTGAGTGTACTGGGTGTACTGGGCAGCTTTTCTATACAAAGATGGGAGCAGGGGAGGGCGCTGCCTTTGTCAGTACTCAGCATCAGCCTGAGTCTTGGTGTCTTTCCCTGTTTCATATGAGTATCTAGCAGAGCACCTTAAAAATTCAGTCATGCGCAAAACGTTTGTGTTACCAGAAAGACTAGAGCAAAGCAATGAGAATTAGGTCTTGTTTGCTTTTTAATTTATTGACCTCTCTAAAGTAACTCTTGTGCTTTTTAAAATAGTTAATGTGACTTACTTATTTGGATTACCTCTCTTATAAAATGCAAAACAATCCAAAGGACTATTGAAATTTCTTGTTAAGTAAAAGAAGTCTTAAAAATGAAGAACAGTTTATATTTGATGTGTCATAGTGGGTGTTCCTAGAAATATATACTATATAAGTTATACCGGCTAATGTTTAATTTCTTATTTTTTTAGAGGTATAGGCATAAGAATGACAGAACCCATATATCTCAGCCCTTCATTTGATAATGTTCTCCCCAGTTACTTATTTTTGCAGGTGAGTAAAATAAAACTGAATGACATTGACTCACCCAGATGAATTATTAGAAATTATTTTTTATTTATTAATATTATATAGTTTCTTCATATTCTGACCTGCCATTGTCAAATACTAAGACAGTCTTATGAACACTCGTGGTTTCTTTTCCTACATTAATTTTAACACACATCTGTTTTCTTTATGTAAAGGTGATTTACTGATGTGATATAATGACGGCTTTTCATCTCAGAATGTTAGTCAGAAGTGTTGCACACATTGATGTACAGCTGTGGGTTCTTATTTTAAGAGCAAAATGCAGATAGTTTTTGTCACGGTGATATTCAGTGCTATAAAAACAGCTCAGGGATGATTATAAAATAGAAATCACAAGACAGTTTGTGATCCATAGTATCCATACATGAAACAAAGGTATTGCTTGTCATTCCATAACAAAGGAATTAGACCACTGCTGGACTAAAGCTTTTGTACTTGAGGATATAGTTAAACTTTTGTCACTTGCCTAGTGGAAACTTTTATTGCATGTAATATTACAATATTATATATAACTGCCCATTGATTGACCAGTGAAACTGAGTAAAAACTATAATAATGATTGTAACGAATATGTACTGAGTATTTAGCTATGTTCTACCAGTGTTATCTATATACCACTTCATGCACCATTTAAAAATCTCTAAAGTCATAGATAAGGGAACAGAGGCTTAAAGAAGTAAAGTATATAGCAGGCATTGGGCTAAATGCCTGCCTTGCTGACTGTGAAATAGACAGAAAGAACAAAGCCAAAATTTGAACCTAGGTCTTTAAATCAAACTTGTGCTAATCCTTGAGACATAGCTCCTGTAGTCCTGCACACATATTTGTACAAGACTCTTTTAAGATGCAGGTTCTAATCCAGTCTGAGCTGGTACACTGGAGGCTCTAAGTCAGCAGTTCTCAACCTGTGTGTCATGATCCCTTTGGAGTTGTATATCAGATTTCTTGCCTATCAGATATTTACATTAAGATTTATACCAATAGCAAAATTACAGTTATGAAGTAGCAACAAGGTAATGTTTTGGTTGGGGTCACCACAATATGAGCAGCTGTATTAAAGGTAAACAGCGTTATGGAGGTTGAGACCCACTTAAGTGTTTCCTAAGTATTCTAGATGCGATTTTTATAGCTTTGTGGCCAGAGTTTAGTTGGTCTAAAAAAAATTTGATCTTTTTTATATTCACTTTCTCTTTGTTAAACTAGTTCAGAGCTATCAGGTTTTTTCAAGTGAAAAAAATTTCTATACAATATATTTTGATCATGTTTTTCTCCTCCTCCAACTCCCAACTTCTTAAAGGTCCCTCTCACCTGCCTACCCACCCATCTTTGTGTTCACTCTCTTTCAAAAGAAAAAAACAAGCAAAACCAATAAACAACAACAACAAAGGAACATACCCCCCAAAATCCGTAAAACAAGCAACAATCAATAAGATATACTCTCTCTCTCTCTCTCTCTCTCTCTCTCTCTCTGTCTGTCTCTAAAACAAAAGAAAATGAAACAAAAAGTTCATAAATATCATTGAGTTTGTTTTGTGTTAGCCAACTATTCCAGAGCATAGGGCCTATCCTGGTATGTGATTTAAAAATGACCAGTGAGACACCATGGGAGAAAATCAGGAAGAAAATTTTCCCTTTACCAGCAGGTATCAGTTGCAGATAGCTTCTTGGTTAGAAGTGGGAGCCTGTGTCCACTTGTCCCTCTCAGTGCCGGGACCTGTCAGGCTTGAATCTGCAGTCTTTTGTGTGCCAGTACAGTCTTGTGAGTCTTTGTGTATCAGTCCTGTTGTGTATTGAAGAAACCGTCTTTCTGTCTCCTCTTTTGCATGGTTCCTTGAACCATTTATTAATTTTTGGTCTTAATGCCTGTGCTATTTGTATTGTGTTCAGAAAATTCTTTCCTGTGCCAATAAGTTTAGACTATCCCACTTTCTCTTTTATCAGATTCAGAGTATCTGGTCATGTGTTGAGATCTGTGGTATATTTGGAGTTGAGTTAGGAGCAGGATGACAGACAGTGATCTGTTTTCATTCTTCTACATGCAATCATTCAGTTTGACCAGCACCATTGTTGAAGATGCTGTATTCCTCCAGTGTGTATTTTTGGCTTCTTTGTTAAAAACAAGGTGTCCATAGGTGTGTGAACTTATGCCTGGTTTCAATTCCTTTGATAAACATGTCTGTTCTTATGCCAGTACCATCTGTTGTTATTATTATAGCTATCTGTATGTAGTCCAATTTGAGATCAGGGATGATTTTACCTCCAGCAGTTCTTTTATTATTCAGCATCTGTGTGTGTTTCCATATGAGGTTTAGACTTGCTTTTTCAACTTCTTTGAAGAATTGCTTTTGTACGATGGCCATTTTCACATCATTAATCCTACTGATCCATGAATATGGAAGATCTTTCTTTCCATCTTCTGTGTCTTCTTCATTGTCTTAAAGTTTTTATTATACTTGTTAGTATTCAGGCCTGTTCTTGGGGTTCTGACAGAATATGCCCTCAGCTGCAGCCACTAAGAGCACCACCTGTGCATATTCACTGTTTCCTTTTAAAAGGGCCCTGCCCACCTTCCATCTTTCTCTCTCTCTTTCTCTCCCTCTCTCTCGTTCCCTCTCCCCCCTCTTTCCTTTTTCCTCTGTCCTCTCTCCTGCTGCTCCTGTCTCTGGAGGCTGATCTCCCCTTCTCTCCCCCCCCCCTTTTTTGTTTTTTTTTTGGTTTTTTTGAGACAGGGTTTCTCTGTAGCTTTGGAGGCTGTCCTGGAACTCACTTTGTAGACCAGGCTGGCCTCGAACTCACAGAGATCCGCCTGCCTCTGCCTCCCGAGTGCTGGGATTAAAGGCGTGCGCCACCAACGCCCGGCTTCTCTTTCCCCTTTTTTATGATCTCTATTAAAAAAACCCTCTGCTTGAACCCTGTCACATGGCATCTTTTTCTCGAGAGCCGCTTTTCTTAAATTACAACACTTGTCTTTCATTTTCTTGGTTAGAAGTGTCCCAATTTATTTGATTTCTTTACTGAGGTGATTATGAAAGGTGTTGTTGCCCTGATTTCTTTCTCAGTTTGTCATTTGTATATAGCAAGGCGGCTGATTTTGTGTGTTAATTTTGTATCCTGCTATTTTTCTGAAAGTGGTTATCAGCTCTAGAAGTTCTCGGTGGAATTTTTAGGTTCTTTTATGTATAAAATAATTTCATCTGCAAATAAAGGTATTTTGACTTCTTCCTTTCCCATTTCTATCTTCTTGATATCCTTCAGATATCTTCTTGCTCTAGATAAGACTTTAAGGACTATATTGAATGGGTATGGAGAGAGTGGGTAATCTTGTTCCTGATTTTAGTGGAAATGCTTTGAATTTCTGTTTAAGTTGATGTTGTCTGTAGACTTGCTGTAAATTATCTTTATTTACATTGCGGTATGTCTCTTGTATTCCAAATTTTGCTGGGACTTTTGTCATGAAGGAATGTTGGACTTTTGTCAGATGTCTTTTCTGTATCTGATGAGATGATTGATCCTTTGGTTTTTGTCCTTCAGTATGTTAATGTGGTGGATTACGTTTATTGATTTACATGTCGAACCTTCTCTGGGATGAAGCCAACTTGATCATGGTAGAAGTCTTTTTTATATGTTCTTGAAATAGGTTTGCAAGTATTTTATTGAGAATTTTTGCATCCCTTTGTGTTCATAAGGGATATTGGGCTATAATTTTCTTTTTTGTTGTGTCATTGTGTGGTTTTGTTGTCAGGGTAATAATGGCTTCACAAAAAGAAATAAGAAATGACCCTTCTGTTTCTTTTTTTGCAGAATAATTTTCGAAGGTCTAGTAGAATTCTGTACTGAATCCAACTGGGTTCTTTTGGTTCTGAGATTTTTAATTTCTGGTTTTGTTTCACTAAGGCTCATGAGTCTGTTTAAATAGCTAATTTGATCTTTATTTAACTTTGGTAGGTCATATATCAAGAGATTCTTCCATTTCTTTTCAGTTTTCTAGTTTGGCATAATAAAGATTTTTAAAATATGTCCTATGATGCTCTGAATTTCTTTGATGTCTATTGTACCTTTTCATCTCTAGTTTTATTTTTTGGCTAAGGAGTTGTCAATCTATTGATTGATTTTTCTCAAACTTTTCATTTATTTATTGGTTGATTTAATTGATTTTAGCCCTGAGTTTAAGTATGTTTTGCCATCAAATATTTTTGTATGTTAAGTTTTCTTTTTATTCTTGGGCTTTCTGGTGTGTCTCTATGTTACTAGTATGACATCTCTCCAGATTTTTGATGTAGGTACCTAATGCTATGAACTTACCTCTTAGAACTGTCATCATTGTGTCCACAAGTTAGAGGTATGTTGTGTATTCATTAGCATTCAGTTCTAAAATGTTTTAAATTTCCTTCTTAATTTCTGTCTTGACTCATTTTTTTTTCATTCTGTGGTGAGTTAAGTTTCCATGAGTTTGTATACTTACATTGTTTGTGCTGCAGTTGATGCCCAGCTTTAATCCATGGTGGTTAGACAGACTGCTAGCTATTATTTCAACTCTCTTATCAACTGTTAGGACTTTTTTTGTGTCCAAGTATGGGATCAGTTTTGGAGAAAGTCCCATTAAATGCTGAAAAGAAGGTGTATTTTCCTGTGTTTGGGTGAAATGTTCTGTATATATGTTAGGTCCATTTGGTTTGTAATGTCAGCGGTTCTCTGTTTAGTTTTCCTCTAGATGACCTGTCTTTTGGTGAGAGTCACCCACTATCACTATGTGAGGGTCAGTCTGTAAATGTAGCTGTAATATTTTTCCTTTTATGAACCTGGGTAGCCTTGTATTTGGTACATAAATGTTTAGAACTGCAATATTCTTATGGTAAGTTTTCCACATGTTGAGTGTATTCCCCTATATCTTTTGATTAGTTTTTGTTTGAAATCATTTTGTTATTAAAATGGCTACACCTGCTTGTTTCTTGGGTTTGCTTTCCTGGAATACCTTTTTCCATCCTTTTACCCTGAGGTAATGTCTATCCTTAATGTTAAGGTACATTTCTTGGCTGAAGCAGAAAGGTGTTTTCTGTTTTCTAGTCTGGTCTGTGTCTATTTACTGAGGAACTGAGACCATTGCTACTGAGTTATTAATGAAGATAGTTTTTTGATTCCAATTATTTTGTTGTTATGGTGTTCATTTTTCCCCTTTTAATTTATTGTTCTGGAATTATTACTTGTGACCTCTTGGATGTAGTTAACCTCTTCAGACTGAAGTTTTCCTCCTAGTGCCTCTGTGAGCTGAAATTATTGATAGAAATTGCTTATGTTGTTCTTAGTTGTGTGTGTGTATACATGTGTGTGTAGTATTTTTCTTTCTCATTAATTGTAATTGGTAGTTTTTACTGCGTATGGTATCTGGACTGGCGTAGCTGGTCACTCAGTTTGTAGAACATCTGTCCAGATCCTTCTGACTTTCAGAGTTTCTATTGAGAAGTCAGGCATTAATTTTGTTATTGATTTTAAATAATAATGATAATATTGCTACTATTATCATTATTATTTACATCTTGACCATAGTTTCCCCTCTGTCCTCTCCTCCCAGACCCTCCTCCCCATCTCCCCTCTGCCCCCCACCCCATCCAGTCATCCTCTGCTTCTATTCAGAAAAGGGCAGGCCTCCCATGGATATCAACCAAACGTAACATATAAGTTGATTCAGGACTAGGCCACCTTCTTTTGTATTAAGTCTGGACAAGGGAACCCAGTATGAGGAATAGGGTCCCAAAAGCCTGTAAAAGAGTCAGAGACAGTCCTGGCTCCCACTGTTAGGAGTCCCTCAAGAAGACTAAGCTACACAACTGTAACATATATGCAGAGGGCCTAGGTCAGTCCAATGTAGTCTCCCTGATTGTTGGCTCAGTCTCTGTGAGCACCTATGAGCCCAGGTTAGTTGATTCTGTGAATTTTCTGTGTCCTTGCCCCCCTGGCTTCTACAATCCTTTCTCCCCTTCTTCTGCAGGATTCCCCCAATTCCACCTAATGTTTGGCTGTGGGTCTGCATCTGTTTCCATCAGTTTCTGGATGAAGCCTCTCTGATGACTGGTCACAGGAGATAGCTAGTTCAGGCTATGTATCTGCTATTGCTAGGAGTCTAAGTCTTCCTTGTAGATTCCTGAGAGATTTTCTTCTCAGGGTTTTTACCTTACTCCAAAATAACCCTGTCTCGAAAAACCAAAACAAACAAACAGAAACAACAACAACAACAAACCACTTAGACCTTATCATTTAATCTATGTGGGATCTGTTCTTGGGGGATTCTTTTTAAAAATAAAGCAAATCAGAAGTAATTTCATAATTGTAAAATCTAACTTTAGATGCCCTTTGCTGAGGCGGGGTCTCACTTGTTTCTGCCCTTCTGCTATCTCCAGCTAGCTGGGTCCTGAGCTACTGGATGGTTCTGTCTCTCCTCCTATCTCTCCTTAGGAAAGCTGGAATTATTATAACTGCAGCTTTTTAATGTGGAATTCCATGACAGGCTTTACCACTCTGAGCTACTAGAGAGATGAGTAATGCCATGTCACTTTGAGTTTAAAATTCATTCTTGTAATTTTTCAAAACATCTTTGAAAATTTTTAAGCATGCCTGAACTATAAGATGAGTGCTGATGCAAGGGTAATATTCCTTATTATTCAGTAATCCATGTGGTTATTTTTTTAAAGTTTGATACTAAATTGGCTACTTCACATCTATTTTCTCATGCCTGCATTGGGTTTTAACTTAAGAAAATGGATATTGTTCTTTTTATTAAATGTGTGTGTGTGTGTGTGTGTATGTGTATTCACATGCTTGCACATGTGTCACAGCATGTGTGTGTTCATCAGAGGACAACTTTCCTTCAATCATGGAGGTCTTGGACATCCAAAGTTTTCAGACTTGACAGCAAGTGTCTTTATCCACTGAACCATCTCACTAGCCATGGTACAGTTTCTTGACTGATATTCATGAACTAGCTTATGGAGAAGTAGTTTGGAGATGATAACTAAAGCCGTTACATCCTGAAATCACATGGGGTATGCATCAGAGTTTTATTTGTTTATTGACTTGAGAGGCTCCCTTGTCAAGACCCATCATTTTTTTTTCCTATAGAATTTGCCATCTGCTGTTGTAGCTCATGTTCTGAATCCTCAACCTGGAGAGAAGATTCTAGATTTGTGTGCAGCACCTGGGGGCAAAACTACGCATATTGCAGCACTGATGCAGGACCAGGTGAGAATGGCTTCTTGGCAGGCTTCTTTCAGATAGTTCCCATGGCCACTGAAGGTAACGGGGAAGCAAGGGTGGGCGCTCAACTGAAAGACTCCCCAGCTAACGTCATTTACCACATTCAGTTCAGTTGACAGTTACTTATGAGAACAATCTCGACATAGTCCCAGTTTGCTAATACATTTATAGACTTGTTCTCTTATAGATTTTGTGGCTGAAACATTTAGATCTTTTCTTGCTCCTAATTTTGAGATTTTACACTTAGATGAATACTAAGATATAAACTTTCACTGGAAGTTAATTTGAGAGAATGTTATCAGTGTTGACATCATATGTATGGTCTATATGCATACATACTCTGCATCAATAAACAAATGCACATACATGTGAATGTTCTGTTGTGTATCTAGAAAAGATACAAATGTAAGTCTGAGCCTGGATAGCTTTCACTCAGATGTTACTGCATTTTTCTTTATGTATGTATGTTCCAAAAAGCTTTCTTTTTATTATGGGCTGGTTTGTCTGTGCTCAAAACTCATTAATGTTGTAATCATTTATATTTTCTTCAATTGAAAAGACAGAGCCATTTGATGCTATCTTTTTTGTTTCCTGCTTTACGACTGAAATAACATCTGAATAGGAGACATGGACTAGAATTTGATGTGCAGGTGATGTAAAATGGTAGCATGAAACAATTTACTCTAGAAACGAGGAAAAGTCACATGTGAGTTAAGTGCGGGAACACGTGCCACAACACTGGACATTCTCGGTTGCTTCCATTTTCTCAATGAAATAGGAAGCAGAGTGAACAGATGCAAAGAGGATAGGGGAGAGAAAGTTAGAATTTTGACTTATGAAATATCAGTCTAGGAAATTGGGCACAAAAATGAGATATGGACACAATCCACTTTTTCCTAAGGGGTCATGAATGTAGTGGCCAGAACTTTAAGTAAGGTAAGTTATGCTTTTTAGCTGTGTATGGGGTGGGTAAGAAATTGATGAAGAACTAGTTTTACCATGACGAATATTACAAATATGCAACAGAGAAGCATGGTGACTATGTAGTTAAGCATGTATAGAAGGGAGTAACTGATGTGTTACAGAATCTACAGTGATTGAAGAGTGTAGCCTATAAATGGAGCACTTGGGAGGCCAAGGCGTGATGATAAGTAGTAGTAGGTCAAGGGTTAATTTATGGAGTATTTAACACACATGCTTATTCAGTTTACTCAGAACTTAGATGTGGTACCAATATGCTTTGTAAAAGTGATGATCTGCTTATAATTTGTGATACATTGGTTATGTACATTAAAAGTAATTTGCTAGGGTGTAGGTCTAATGCTGGGGATTGAAACCGGGGCCTGGGTACAAGCCATGCAAGTACACTTAAGAAGCTGTACTCCCTAGACATTTTATCTTCTCGAGGAAAATAAGTCTTCCCAAAGAGAGGGAATATTCGTGAATAAGTCCATTTCCAATGATTTTATGATGCTGCTTAAAAATACAGTACTGTGGTGACATAAAACTAAACGTTTGCTAGCTGAGGCAGTTTAGGGGATTGGGCTGGTCTAAAGGGCCTACTCATGCACCTGGTCAACTGCAGATAAACTGGTGCTTCTGCTAATGGGGATGGGCTCATTCACTTGGGTTTTTATGGTTTTTACTTAGCTAAAGCGTCAAGACAGCCAGGATGCTCTGCCTCTTTGGCCCATGTGTTTCTCTCTCCTGAGGACTGGCCCAGTAAAGGCAATACCTTGAGGTTGTTGTCAGTTGTCCAAACACTTTTATGTATCTTTTTTGTTTGTTTTTCGAGGCAGAGTTGCACTATGTAGCCCTGGCTATCCTGGAGCCTACTCTATAGACTATATGTATCTTCTTATATATCCCATTCACCATCTTGCTATCAGCCAAAAATAGGCATATGACCTAGTCTTAGAGTGAAAGGTTATTGGATACTTCAAGTTTGCTGGAGCTTTAGATTTTCTGTTTTTAGTTAAGTAAGCATATAAATTCAGCTTCTAGATGTGTGTACTTTGTGAAAGTGGCCAGGAAAGTTTCTCCTTCTCTGTAGTGTAGCTGAGCCTTATTTGGCTCCCCCCCTCCCCCCACTTTTCCACCAGACAGCACTGCTATTCCCACTCAGTGAGATAATGCCAGCCTGTGGAGATTCTGCTGTGAGACTCCTGCAGCCTGCACTCTTCAGACTGTTGACCTCTAGTCCTCCTGATCTGCCCAGCTAGCCCCCAGACCTATAACAGATTACATTTAAATTCCCTGATTTATGGTCATTGCCTGCTCTCTGGCTCCAGGGTAGCTCATTTTAGATAATAGCATCCTTCTTGAGATAGCACCCAGTGAGTCCTAGGGAGTGACTACTGGAGGTCCCCTCTGGCTGATCACCAGAGTTACCACCTCAACAAAACCTGCTCAAGGCTTTGTCCTAAAAGTGGTATTGCCAGTCTCTCCACCAAGGTCACCTGGGGATAAGCTGCTGGCCTGTGTTCCTGTCACTGCCTTTATGGCTCTGAACCTCTTCCCTCTTTGGAGGAATCTCTGCTTTATTGGCTGTCTTATGGTTTCTATGGCAACTCTCATTAAGGAAAACATTTAATTGGGATTGGCTTACACTTAGAGATTTAGTCTATTATCATGGAGAGAAGCATGGTGGCATGCAGCCACAGATGGTGCTGGAGAGAAGCTGAGACATCTGGATCCACAGACAACAGGAGGAGAGAGTAAGCCACTGGGCCTGGTGTGAGCTCCCAATGACACACTTCCTCCAAAAAAGGCAAATGTACTCCAACAAGACCACATGCCCTGATCCTTTCAAATAACAGCATTCCCTGTGAGCCTATGGGGGGCCATTTCATTCAACACAATACTGGCTCTTCTCCTTAACTGAGCTACTCAGTTGCCACCTGATCCTGGCAACATTTGAACTTTATGCCTTTCCAAAGCATTTTGCTGTGGTGCACAGAAGTTTGGGCTAGTGATGTTCTCATTTAGATTAAGAATTTTATGTAACTTGAAAATATTAAGACAAGGATCAACTTTACACTCATTTGTATGTAATTCCTTGAAGCTAGATGTTTCACAAAGGAAGGTCACCCCCCCCCCTCCACGAGCAGTCACTCAAGATAGGTGGTTTTATGTTTACCTTCAAGAGTGTTTCTAAGTTTCTTGAAAATACAGCAAACATTTTTTTGTTTTGATTTCTGTAGATTAAAGGTAGGGTAGGTGTAAGAACAATTGTCAGAAATGTATCTATTTAAAGGAAGACTAGGTATTTAAAGAATTAATTTTTCAGTGCTGGGAACTGACTCTGGGACCTTGTACTTGCTAGGAAACGCACTACCACTGTGCTATTCCCCTCACCCAATGTAAATTTGGTTAAAGAATTCAGCAGGTATGAGAAGGAAGGCAGGAGACCACAGTTTTACACTAGTCTTTTATATTGCTGATTTTCATAACTGCTTTGGATTTATACTTTTTTTCATTTTTTAGGGAGAAGTAATAGCACTGGACAAAATATTGAATAAAGTAGAGAAATTAAAGCAGAATGCTTCATTATTAGGGCTTCATTCTATCAGGGCGTTTTGCTTCGACGCAACAAAGGCAGTTAAACTTGATATGATTGATGGAACTGAAGGTAACATTAATTTGTTTTTCTTGTCTGTGTTTTCTTCTCATAATTACCTGTACTCACTGGATCTTGATAAAGGTATGAATGTGGAGTGACCAGAAATTAATTAAGATAACGTATTAGTGTTTATGTAACGTCTGTGTTAATATTTTAATGTGATAATGTTTAGGTGGCAAGACATTCAAAATTTGCCTTTGACAGCTTTGAAATGCAATGTATATTATTACTAAATGTAGAATCCTGTTGTGCACTGGATCTTAAAAACATACTATTCCTATCTGGGTAAACTTTGTTAACTTTTCCACAGTATCTCCCTGTCTTTTCCAGATATTCCCTGGTAACCACCGTTTCTCTATCTGCTTTTTAGCTTCCAAATACAAATGTCTTTTGGTGCTTGGCTTATTTTCATTCATCATACTATCTTCTGGATTCTTCCATGCTCTTGCAAGTGGAAAATTTCTTTTCAAGGCTGAATAATATTCTATTGTGTATATGCACTACATTTTTTGCTGGTAGACAGTTGATTCTGTAGCATTGCTTTTGTAAATAGTGTTAAAGTGAACATGGGAATGTAGATATCTCTGATAACGGTTCCCATTAATATATTTCCACTAGCAAGCAGTTCTATTATTTATTGTTTGAAGGACCATGTCATTTCATTAGTGGTCATATTTATGTTTGTATAACAGTACATGTATGCCCTTTCTTTTCCATGCTCTCATCAAATTACATTCTGTTCTTTTCTTTTGATAACTACCTCCTCGTAGGGGTCAGGTTATAGTTTTCATTGTTAATTAATTGAAAGTTAATTATAGTGAGCATCTTTTGCATATACCCACTGGTCATGTATTCTTTTGAAGAGCAATTAACGCCCATTTAAATCCAACCCCCTTTGGGCTGTGTATTAGTTGCTATGATAAAACAGTGACAAAAGCAAGCTAAGGAAAGCTTCCTTTTGCCTCACATTGTGGAGGTGTACCCTGCATGTCTAACCTCCCATCATGGTGAACCCTGTCTGTGTTAATGTCCTCCTAGTCATGCTGTACTCTGTGTTAATGACTTCCGCATCCTGATGCAGTGTGTGTTAATGAGTTTTCCGCATGGTGTACTCGGTGTTGATGACCTTTTCATCATGGTGGGGAAGGTGTGTGCATTGTCAAGTACTTCACCAGCTAGTGTAGCAAGAGCATGAGGAACGGTCACATGGAATCATAGGTAGGAGGCAGAGAGATGAATGCTGCTTTCCATTTCTTTGTCTTCCTTCTTCTCATGGACTTCAGCCCATAGAATGATGCTGCCTGGCTTAGAATGGGTCACTTCTCCAGTTAAATGGCTCAGAAGTGCCTCCTCAGACACACCCTCACTGACACATCTGAGGTGTGTTTCTTAGGTAACCCTAAATCCAGTGAAGTTACAGTGGTAAGCCATTACAGCAGTGAATAGTTGGTTTTTGTTTGTTTGATTTAGTACGTATGACTACTCTATCTTTTTGTTTTGTTTTTCGAGACAGGGTTTCTCTGTGACGTTGGAGGCTGTCCTGGAACTAGCTGTTGTTGACCAGGCTGGTCTCAAACTCACAGAGATCCACATGCCTCTGCCTCCCAGGTGCTGGGATTAAAGGCATGCGCCACCACCACCCCGCAGCTACTCTGTCTTTTGTCTGAAATATTTAATCCATTTTATTCCAATAAATAACAGTGGTGAAGACTTGCTTGAGCCATTCATTCCTTATTTCCTAAGTGATTTTTAGATGCATTTGCTTTCTGTGTTGCTGCCATCTTTCATAATTAGGAGTGTTTCTATTGTGCTATATTTTAATCTTACGTTTATGTACTGTAGGTTTTGGTAGCCCAACTTGCCAGCTCTACTGTAAAACATATCCATCACAGGTCATGTGAAACTGATAAGCACTGAATTTTGCATTAAAAACTCAAGGTTTTTTTTCTTAGTTCCCCATTTTTTATTTGTTTTGCATTTTGTCTTTGAAACTCTTACCTGTCTTTCTGTTCATTGTAACTCTGTTGAAGAGTCTGTCTTTGCAATGCACATTTTACACCTTTGCCAAAAATGAGGTGGCCATAGCTGTGTGGGTTTAAAGATTTGTACTCTGTTCCTTTGGTTGGTGTGGTCTGTGTGCTTGTGTCCCAGTGTTATGTGCCTTTGTTTTTATGGCTTTGTGATGTGATATGAAGCTGGTGTTACTAGTGTTGGTCTTTCTGTGTAGGGTTGCTTTGGTTATTTGGGTCTTTCGACTTCTGAGTGAATTTTAGGATTTCTTTTTTTTTTTGTGAAGAATGCCATTGGAAATTTGATGGTGCTAGTATTGAATCTGTGGTTGGCTTTGCAGAACAGAGCCATTTTCACAATGTTATTCTAGCAATCCATAAGCATGTATGGTCCTTCCATCTCCTGATGCTTTCTCCAGGGTTCTAAAGTTAGGGAAAGCTTCTGGTAAATGTATGTATTTTTACAGTATATTATTATAGGAGTCTTTATTTGTTTTTCTAGTTTAATTTGTTTTTTAAGACAGGGTTTCTCGTATAACATCCCTGGCTGTCCTGGAACTTGCTTTGTAGACCAGGCTGACCTCAAACTCACAGAGGCCTGCCTCTGCCTCCCGAGTGCTGGGATTGAAGGCGTTCACCACCACACCCAGCTGCCTTTCTAGCTTTAATAAGAGAAATTTCAGTTGCACTAAGTGCATTTGGTGATCATTTTGTGATCTTGATCTTTATTGTCTGCATAGCCATCCCATACCATAAAGTCTTAGCTTCACGTTTGTTGCTGTAACAAATGTCTGACAGAGACAGCTAAAAGAAGTAAAGATTTAATTTGACTCATGGTTTTCAGAGTTTTCAGTCCATAGAGGCAGGCAGGGCATGGTGGAGCACAAGTGCAGCCAGTAACCGCAGCAAAGCAAGACATTGCCTGCAAGAACATTCCACCAGGGCCTCCAGCTAGTCCTGCCTCTTGTCTTCTGTGCCTCCCACATTAGGAATTAATCAGTGTCTTAGATTTGGGCCCTTGTGATTGCATCTTCTATGGAAATATCATCAAAAACATACCCGGAGTTGTACTTTACTAATGTGTCTGGTATTTCTCAAACCAGTCAAATTGACAAGAAAGAGCAGCCATCACAGTTTATTAGGAATGGTGAGATTAGTCATTGCCATTACTCTTATTAGGATTATCAGGTATAGTTGTGCACTCTAAAATGTGAGTCAGTTCTGAATTCCAACCTATTATTGGTTTGTCATAGTATAGGGCCCTGCAAATATGAAGCTTCAGGAATGTATTCAGAACAAACTTGTAGTTTGTATGTAAGTACTTTGTGGAATTGCGGATTTCTTAGCTTTTAAGCAATTGTTGAGAGCTGTATTTCAGATGAATTCATATGGTCACAGAATAAAAAACAAAATGTAAGAAGTATTTCAATAGCTAATTTAGTATAAATTTCAATCAGTGAGAGACCACTTAGTATGAAAATAAGCAGTAGGAGGAACAAGACAAATGGATACTTGCAGGCTGTAAAGCAGGAGGGGGACTCTAGCAACGTAGAACTACCTATCAGCTGCTGGGAGGAGCACTGCTTAGCCTCTGCAGGTGCCTCCACACAGAACAGGGACTCCCTGCACTGGGACATCCCCTGTAGAGGGCTGTGGCTACTCCTGCCTGTTACAGGGAAGGTAAAAAGGGTTGTGAAGGTTTTGACATGAAAACAGATGAGGATGAGAAAGTCTGTTCTCTCTTCCTGTTGTCTTTCCTCTCTCCCACACCGTCATATCACTCCGTACCTCCTGCTAGTAGCTCTTGCAGGCCGCAGGCATTTGCACCATTTTAAGATGACTCATACTGGGGACCACCATAAAGAATGAAAGCAAAAATTTTAATAGTTGATACTCATGTGTGCGGGTTAAAAAAAACCAAAGCTAAGGAAATAGATTGTGGAAAATAGTCATAGAATATTATGGGAAAGATTCCCATCTTCTATATATAAGAGCTGTTCTGTTCAGTAAAGAGAGGCAATGACATTAGTAAGGAAAAGCTACACAAAGGATGTACCTATTTAAAGGAAAAATACAATTGGTCAATAAAAAGCTGTTTCATTAAAGATTTGGGGAAAGCAGGTATACACACTCATGATCATGACAGCATACACCAGTATAATTTGTGTGGGTTTTTTTGGTGGGGGGGTGGTTACCAGCATACATCAAAAAAAATATTTCTTTGAAAAGTATTTTTTCCAAGACAATAGATGAAACAGGAAAAAAAAAAGATTCTAGATGGAGGTAGGTTAAATTGATAAAAACTTGTGTCTTTACAGCCTTCTAGCCAGGTGAAAAACAGAAGGTGATTCTGGGTTTAAATAGTTTTCAGTAACAATGACAAGCTTGCAGGTAAAGAACACAAGTTTCATAACTTTCTCCAGTAATACCAAACATTAGAATTACTCATGAGCACTCAAGGGAAACTTGATGGGCTATTAAACCCAGGGGCTAATAGATCATAGTGGATAGTAGCCATACACAATGCCGTAAAACCAGGAGACTAAAGAACAGCAGCCAGACAAGTATGCTTGGCTAGAGCCCAGCAGGCTCTGACTTTTTTGGGAGCTGCTGGCAGTGGGCATTACCAAGAAAACAACTTCCTCTATGACTGATGACTGGAATTGGTACTAGGTACTGACTCTGGGGAATTATGGCTTCTAGCACTTACAAAGTCAAATCTATATGAAATAGAAGTAATTCTTAGCTTAGCCAAGGACTTGCTTAAAGGGAGAAAGATTTTTCTTTATTCTCTTAGATTATGACATTAATTTCTCTATTGTTTATATCACAAGAGTATTCTGTTCTTTTCTAGACCTATACGTAAAAAAGCAGATAATGTTTCTAATTCTCTTTTATAGGGACACCTCCATTCTTACCAGAATCTTTTGACCGAATTCTCCTTGACGCACCTTGCAGTGGGATGGGACAAAGGCCAAATATGGCGTGTACTTGGACCTTGAAGGAAGTGACATCATATCAGCCACTGCAGCGAAAACTCCTTAATGTGGTATGTGAAGATCCTTTGCTGAGAAGAAACTGACCATTGTTAGTTCGCTGTTGAGTCTATCAAGACTGTTGTCTGTAGCAACAGCCTTCACTATGATCAAAGGAAGGCGATCAGGAGTTATGGGCAGACTGAATACATAGGATTTGATTTGACCACATGAAATATTTATTCAGCCTTAAAAGGGAGTGAAATTTGGCACATGCTACAATATAGATGTCCTTGGAGACTTTATGATAAGTGAAGTAAACCAGACACAGAAGGAAATTTTATATATAATCCCAATTATAAGGTAATTAGAATAGGCAAAACAAAAAGTAGAACAAAGGGTGTGTTTTGAAAGAAAGGGTAGTGATTTAATGGTTACAGAGGTTAAGTTTGGGATGCTTGCATAATTGAACATTTAAAGTAATCGAATTATTCAGTTAATATGATGCATTGTATTTATCCTGTGTGTGTGTGTGTGTGTGTGTGTGTGTGTGTGTGTGTGTGTGTGTGCACGTGCACGTGCGCTCTACAGACAAGAGATTGTGTGGCTTTAGTTTTTTAAGGCAGGGTCTCACTGTATCCAAGCTGGACTCTAGCTCTCATTATTCTGTCCTTAACCTCACACCTGCTGTGGTGATTTATGTGCATCATCATGCTGGGTACAGCTTTAAACACAGGGAACTTTCCCTTATGCTGACCCCTCCTTTAAAATACACACCAGTAGCCTATAGTATGTTCTCATTGAGACATTTAGTTAATTGTAAAAATTCTACCCCTTAAATGAAAATAGAACAACAAAACAAACACATAATTGGCTGAGTTGTTCATGTATAGTTGCTAATTGATGTAAATAATTCAGTATAAATAATTTACCCTTTACTCTTCTTGTCTTAGTTGTCAGATTAGAAGTCAAAAGTCTACTACAGGGTAACACATTATTAAACTAGGTATGATAACATCCAGAATGTAGAAGGATCGTAGCAACTGCAAATTTAATATATCTAGTATATTACACATAGATATATGAGATTTTTTGTCAGTTTGTTAAACATTATATTTCAAAATATGATGTACTTTTTTATTTTAGTTTCAATTTTTCTATTTTTAAAAATTTATGAATGAATGTATGTTTACTTGTCGACATGTAGGAGTCAGAATAAAGCAGAAGGGCTCTGGAAGTGGAGTTATAGGTGGTGTGAGCTGCCATGCGGGTGCTGAAAACTGAACCCAAGTCCTCTGCAAGAGCAGTCAGTGCTCTTAACTTTCCAGCCACTACAATGTCCTTTGATGAGAGATGAATTCGTTATTTCTCCGCTTTCCTACAATGACAATGCACAGACTACAGCAACAACTACTGCACTGCAATTATTCAGTCTCTAAGGTTGTTGTTGAGTACATTTCTGTCTTTCTTGCTGCCTTCTTTCATAAACAAAGGCAGCACTGGTTGTGGCTTATTTAACTAGTTTCAGAATAATCATCAAAGAACGTGCCACTGGCATGAAAGCACCAAGCAGCACAAAGAATGCTTTCCAGACAAAGTGCCTGAGGATAAAGTGAAGTTACTTTGTTGTTTTTTCCTTCTGTTGTTGTTTTTAGGTTATAGTGAAAATGGAAATTCAGAACGGCTACTAAGATTAGATGGATGATTTCCATGCAGAGGGCCAGTGGTGGGGGAGATTCAGAGAGCAGGTGTGTGAAGCAAGGTTAGACATTGAGAATGTGAACTTTAGGATTAGAACTTTCTTCATTTGAGCCATGACTCCTCTATATTAGTGACTTTGGGTACATTGATTTCCATTTGGAGAAATGGGGAGTACAGCACTATCTACTAGGAATACCTCATTGGAAATAGTAGCCAGGCTCATCATTAGTAAGGATCCTTTGAGAAAATTCATGTTAAAGTCTGTAGCATAGTAGCCACCATAGAGTTACCATGTTTACATTTCTTTAGTTAAGGCACAGTATTAAGTATTAATTATAATCTTTTGAACGATTTTTATTAAATTTTTAAACATAATCATGAGTTTACAAAAAAAAAGGAAACAAAGTTGGCTGGGTGGGAAATGGTTGAATCAAGGGAGAGTTAGGAGAAGAGGCTAAATATGATCAAAACACATTGTATAAGATCCTCAGAGAACTCAGGAAATCTCTATGAGCTTGAAAAGATAAACTTTAGTGATGTAGTCCAGTTGGTAGAGTGCTGTCCTAATATGTTAGTCACTTCTTGTTGGTGTGACAAAATACCTGATGAAAACAGCTTGGGGAAGGAAGTGTTTATTCTGCTCACAGTTCAAAGATCCAGTCCATCATGGGGAGGAAGTTATAGCAATAGGAGCTTGAGGCATCTGGTCACATTCCATCTGCAGCTAGATGCTGAGAGCAATGGATGCTAGTACTCATGTACCTTTCTCCTTATAATCAGTCCAAACCTTCGCCTGTGGAATAGTGCTCCCACAGTGAAGGTGGGTCTTGCCACCTAGGTTAACCTAATCGAGACAGTTGATCACAGACATGTCAAGAGGCTTGTTTCCTCAGTGATTCTAGATCCTATCCAGGTGACAACATTAACCATTACTCCTATCATGCATGAAGCTTTGGATTAGATTCCCAGTAAGACATAAACTGAGTGGAACAGCGCACACTTGTGATCCTAGCACTCTGGAGATAGAGGCAAAGGGTCATAAGTTTAAAGTCATCTTTGGCTAGCAGAGAATTTGAGGCCAGCCTGGAATATGTGAGACCCTGCCTAAAAATAAAAGAGAAGATTAAACTAACGATATTTGGGAGAAAATTACTTTAGCATGATAACATATATCCTGATTCCTGTTAAATACCTGTAAAATAATGTCTAGATCATAACCAAGAAAACAGACAATCTATGCCCTTCTCTAAGAGCTTATCTTCTGACTGGCAGTTTGTTATATTACATGACATTAATGCTGTAGATCAAACTACAGAAAGAAAGGAGTGCTGTGGGTTCCATTTAGATCAGGAAGAGCATTTCAGAGAAGGGGACCTGTAAGTACCTTTATGTAATAACAAGCAACTTGGAGAAGTCAGAGAGTTTCTATCCTGGCCAAGGACCCTAAAGTAGTAATGACTTTGGGTGTTACAGGGACAGTAGGAGGACAGGTTTGCTAGTGCAGAAGGGCAGGAACACCTTGGAAACTCTTTCAGGACTTTCCCTGTGAAGCTGAGAAGCAACAAGTTGAAAAGCATTGCTCAGACTGGTATGTGGAGACTGGCTTATAGCAGGCTGGCAGATTTTACTGTTGTGTAATTCAGCTGAAGAATAAAGAAGCTGGAAATGATGGTAGTGGAAGTTAGGAGGAGAGGCCAAAAGCTGTACTGTGTGTTCACACACATATTTATTTCATATGTATACATGTTTGCCTGAGTGTATGCATGTGTACCATGTGCATGCAGGTACTAGCAGATGTCAGAAGGGGGGATCAGATCCTCTGTAGCTGGAGTTATAGGGAGTTGTGAACCATCATATGAATGCTGGGACTTGAACTTGGGTCTTCTTCTAGAGCAGTAAGTGCTTTTACCCACTGAGCCATCTCTGCATTATATATTGAAAGAAAGGTCAGTAGGGCTGGCTAGTGGGTGGGGAAGGTGATAGGACTACACGTGTAATTGGTGCTCAGAGGTTCAGGGCTGAAGTTTTGGGAAGACTGGGAAAGCTTTTCCAGTAGGTTACAGAGAATGATGAGTATTTGTTTGGGACACATTTCCTGGGGTAGCAGGAATGCTGACAAGATAACTGAATGCATGCATATGGGATTCAGAAAGGAGGTCTCCCTACAAATTTAAGTTTGAACATAAAGATAATGTGGGAAGGAAGGTAACTGAAGGTTGTATGTGAGAGACTGAGTCTGTGTGTATCATAAAGCGCTCAGGTAAGGCTCCATGCAGGCAGCGGTGTATACGTTGTGCTCTAACTGCAGGAAGAAGCTTTATCTTACAGGACAGCATTTTATTGTCACCAAATGCTTACAAGGTACCATGTGCTATCCTATAACTTACTTTTAGGTATTTATTGGTCTATGGCATGTTTTCTGTAGGCAGTTCAGCTGCTGAAGCCAGGGGGAGTGCTGGTTTACAGCACATGCACAGTAACACTGGCAGAAAATGAAGAGCAAGTTGCCTGGGCCCTCAAAACATTCCCCTGCCTTCAGCTTCAACCCCAGGTGAGAGCACTAACATTTTCCAGTCTTATCAGCATCTCAGAGTGTGATGTGCACTAGCATAAACACAATGTTATGGAGAAGTGTGTCGAACTCTGAAGCTCCCTATTCGTAAGAGTGATGGTGTATTCTGACTGACCATGGGGATTCATTCACATGACCAAATGAGAAAGCATCCCCTCTCCCTGCATGCTGCCATTGTGCTAAACTGGGACAAGCTTGGGTATCTTTCTACTGTTTATCCCACTTGCTGTTATTAACACTGCAAAAAAATGCTTTTCTTTTTTCTTTTTAGTTAAGATTTATTTATGTGTATGAGTATTTTGTTCATGTGTATGTATATACACCATGGGCATTCCTGTTGCCCGTGGAGGTCAGAAAAGGCATCAAGTCTCCTGAATCTGGAGTTACAGATAGTTATGAACCACCATATGTGGATGCTAAAAACCAAATCTGGTCCTCTGTAAGAGCAGCAAGCACTGTTAACCATTGAGTCATCTCTCCAGCCCCTTAAAAGGAGACTATGTACTTCAATCCTAGTCCTCTGTTTTTCTGATTTAGAAAAGATTGAGCACTTTTGCTTCTTGCCACATCTAGCGCACTTCTGCAGCAGTGGGCTTAAGAATAACAAAAAACCAGCTGTGGGAACAAGCTGCAGCTCAGAAATGCCACCCTTTACACTTTTCTGTTAGTATAGGGTATTTTTAAAGCCCTTTCTAGTTTCAGTGAGCACTGACCTGAGTTTTTTGTTATGATTTTTAATAAAGCTGACTCAACTTTGAGATAGTCATGTCTACAGGGATATTAACATTCTGAGACATATGACTTTGTGGCTTCCTATGCAGAACTCTAACCTACAGACAATAAAGGTTAAAATCAGTCTAGAAATTGCTTCTGGACAGAGAGATGAAGACAGTTACCTGTAAATGAAAGAAAACAAGACTTCAGAACTCACATCAAATCTGTATAAAGAAGTAACGGAACATTCTCCCCTCACTGCCATATATAATGACTCTCTTTTCTTGACAGTAGTTTCTTTTCCACCAGTGTCCCAAGACACCTGTCTGTGAAATGATGACTTGTTGGCATTTATGGATCTTTGGTACTGGTGGTTTTCAAAAATAAATTCTTTTGGATTCCTTAAAGCCTAGTTGATGTAGCCGACTTATATATCCTTTCTAATATGTATTCTTCTAGTGAGTGTAAAATGATAAGCCTTCTATGATAGAGGTGGAGTGGTTAAAGGCATTTGAGATGTCTCAGAGGCTGGCTCATTCTGCTGTTAGAGAATAAGACTGACTACTCATTTGCTTCATGGATAAAGTTCCACTCCCCGAGTGAGTGCTATGATATACCAGGCCCAGTAGTGTTGTCTTTAGTAGTGTTTAGTTTAAGAACTGGGTATTTTATATGTATGAGTAAATGGAGTTAGGTAATGCTGTTTGCTTAAGTCTTATAGCTGAAATATGCTAGAGCTGCATTTTTAAGTATCATAACATAAGCACGAAGGATCCTAAATAAGTAAGAAGTCCTTTGTCATCACTGCTTCTCTACTTCCCTCAAATTGGCATGTGCAACCCATAAAAGCAAGGATATTTACTTGTACTTATGCTTCTTGAAGGGGTTTAATGCACAACCAAATTGTCTTCTTAACTTAAGCTACAAGGAGGCAACTTACTAATTGTAGGGCATTCAACCGTATTTATTCATTTCTTCCCAACAGGAACCACAAATCGGAGGAGAAGGAATGGTGGGAGCTGGCCTGTCACCGGAACAATTGAAACAGCTGCAGCGATTTGATCCATCTGTTGTGCCACTGCAAGACATGGACACTGATTGTCTGGGAGATGCCAAAAGAGAAGACATGATCTGGCTGGCCAACAAGGATTGTATAGGCTTCTTTATTGCAAAGTTTCTAAAATGTAAAAGCACAGAAGAGAAAGTTTCTCGGAAATGAAAATTTGGAACACTGCATGTTGCTTTTCTTACATCAAAGTGTTGTGAGACCAATGGACTGATGGCATGTTTGCTCTGTGAACAGGAAGATGGTAACATTTTCCAGGGGATCAGAGGCACAGTGTGCATATGTGGCCCTGGAGAAGTGGGGGGGGGTGGTGCTGGGAAACCATAATCTGCCTTACATGATACAAAAGGAAAGGAAGAATTCTCTGTAGAGTTGGGATACACTGTCAGTTTTAACTCACAAATATTAGTCTTTCTAATGTGAAAAATAGTCTAAAGACAGAAGAATAAAACTAAACCTTTCATGTGGTTGTGAAAAAAGCTGTTTTCTGTTCCAAAGATGGCAGTAGTTATTTCATTAAGCATTTCGGCCATGGGCGGTAACCCTTACTGCATCCTGACTGAGGTAAGTAGGCTTGTTACCTGAGTCTGTCTCTGTCTCTCTCTCTCTCCCCCCCCCCCCCCCAATTTTAAATCAGGCCTCTTTTAATGTAAAGATTTACTCACTTATTTACTATGTATGATCTGGGTGTGGACGTACTGCTAATGCCATGACACACACATAGAAGTCAGAGGACAACTTTAGGAGTCAATTGTCCCCTTCAACCTTGGGTTCTGAGGCTGGAACTCATGTTGTCAGGTTTGTTTGACAAATACTTTTACCTGCTGAGCCATCGTTTCAGCCCTCAACTGTCTTAAATGAAGTTGGGAATTCTAAAAGGTGAAATACAGGTATTTACCTTTGTAGATTATTTTGGCTGTATTTTATCACCTTCTGGAAGAGAAATCATGCAAAATAATAGAAAAATGCTTGGTGAGAAGCAGAAAAACAATTGCTGATAGCTGAGACCTAGCCTAGTACTTTCTGCTGACCCTTGGCTTCTCTTGATGAGCATAGGCAGCTACACAGAACACAAGCTCCAGGCAACTGTGTCTGATAGATAAGACAAAATAAAAACTTCTTAATCAAATGTGAACTTACCTCAGACAAAAACAAGAACCTCGCCTATCTGCAGAAGTGATCAGGCATCCTGCCACTGTGGCTAGTCTACTCTAGATAGTTCAATCCAGTCTGCCCAGACCACAGTAGCAGCCTAAGTATTGGCTTTTCAAATACATCACCATGTCCTCAGGCTGGTTTCATTCTACCTGCTTTGTAGATAAACTCTTATTAAGGTTTCTAGTACCCAGCAACATTTGAAAGATTTCATGTGGAACATATCAGACTGGTTTGTTATTTTTCATTTCCATCCTCCCAAATTATTGGGCTTTGGTTGTGTCAAATAGACAACTAGAACCAATTGCTAATAGTTTTTTTTTTGTTGTTTTTTTTGTTTTGTTTTGTTTTTGTTTTTTTTTACTTGTAGGTTTCCTGTAGGAAGGTCTCATAACAACTTACTGTATCCATGATGACTGCAGCAGTTCTTAGATCAGTAAAGCCTTTGGGTGGCTCCTTCCTGGACAAAGTCTCTTTTGAACAGCTCAGAGCTCTACAGAGTGTCTGTATCCATAGCTCTTGGTACATTGTGATTCCAGTTTACTGTGTTGTTATCCTGAGTTTACTCCTACACTTGGGAAATGTACCAGGATAGATAAACCAGTGTTTGTTTTTTTTTCTTTCTTTTTTATTCACTATCACTTCTTCAGAGTAGACAGTCAACAGGTGCTTATTGAACATGAAAAATTACATTGAATTTCCTAAGATTCAAGTATATAAGCAAGCCCTTATCCATCTTTCATTCTGCCTGTGTTCAATAGATGCCATTTTGACTAAATAGAAACATCATCTCTTTGTGGCACTTCTGTTTCTGGGACTCATTGTAGCCCCTCTGATTTTAAGACTGTATTTTAAGCAACACCATAATCACTGTTCTTTCCTGCTGCCTGTATAAGTTGTGGTGAGAATGGGAGAGAGATAGCCTAGCAGCAAACCTGCATGCTGTCAACTTTTAGCCATTCTAGTCAATACCAGAGTGCGTGCAGAGCTAGCACACTAAATACTGTCTAACAGTTTTCCTATTAAAATGGGCCTTTCTCAGTGCATTTCTTCCCTTCAAATTTGAAAGCAAACCATGCATTCTCCAAGGACACAGATGTGGTAGAAAAAGATGCAATAAATGAAAAAATCAGGGACACGTGGGAGGTTATTAACATATCTTTTTAAACATAGTTTTAATATAGATTATTTCTATGAAAACAGAAAAAATATTTAACTCAATGATAAATACATGTTAATTAAAACCCTATGTTAGATTTTAGTTTATATAGCAAAGTGAAGGAAAGCAGTTAATAAGACCAAGAGCCAGCAGTACGATACTTGCTGGAATAAGACCAGAGCATCAAGGAACAGTGGCAGCACCTCACTGAGCAGACAGGGAAGCTGTGGGTCCTCTTAAACATGAAATCAGCTGCTAAATATGAATCTGGATTATTCTATGGGTTGAATTAATATGGGAATAAGATGCCTCTCTGGTTTACACTGGAACTGTTTTATTACCTTTTTTTTGTTGTTTTCTTTTTTTAAAATGAGACATGAAAGGAAGATTACCAGAAGAACACCATGTTATTGGCTGAAGATGTTCCCCATGGTAAGTGTGGAATATAACATATTCATTCCTAAGCTGGCAATTAATGCCGCTGAACAGTGTAGATACCAGCTTTTTGTTTCCATGAATGACTTTAAAACAAGTTTGTTAAATAGTTTAGTGTTGTGACAATGAGTGTTTGTTTAACAGGAATTCAGGGCAGACCATGTTAAAATGTGGCATTGTCTTGAAGTACAATATGACTGTAAGACATCCTATGTTTAGCAGCACCTTTTTTTGGTATCAGTAAGTAAGTAAAAGAGCAGTAGAGAAAGACACAGGAAAAACTAAATGACTGACATAGAAGTATAACACTATTAACTCCATTTCCAGCATTTCCTGGATTGACTACAGAAAAAGGAAATTAGGATTTTACAACTGAGGAGGTTAAGATTAAGCCTTTGCTTGTGAAAAGGCTGGTATTACATTCTACAAGTCAGAAAATGCCCCCATCTTCCTTGGGATTATTTCCTTATTTCTAGATGAGCTGCACCCTGCTGACATAGATCCACTGTACAAAGTTCTACAGACATGCCCCTGTGTCAGATCCTTCAGCAGAACAGAGGAATGCTTTGATCTGCACAGACATATTCATAGTAAAGTGAGGACCTAAGAATTGGGTACAAATTAAAAGGTGGACACCATTAGAACTATTCTTTAAAGGGCTTTATGGTGATAGCAAGTAATAGAAATACCATCCTTCATGAGACTGAGTACCTCAGAGCCGTGCCTTTGGATGAAATCACACACAAGAAGGGATTATGAAAACATTCTGAATTTGGGTCACACTAATTTTGGGTATAGTCTGTAAATTCTGTAAGTAGCATAGTATTGATTCTAAGGGGAAATTTTCATAAGGAGGTAAAATATTGATAAAATAGTGTATGCAACTCATATTTTAAATACTTTAGTTTTCTTAGGTATAGGATAAAGTATTAAGTGTAAAACTCCTCTAAATACAAAATCGTTTTACTTATAAATGTCTAAGAATATTTGGGAAAAAATTGGAATATCCTGGAAACAAATCAAAACGTATATTTATTATAACCATTATTTGTTTTAGTAATATATGGATCTGGTTGGGTAACGACAGATAGGCATTTTCCTGGGAAAAACTTCAAATGCTAGAAGCCCATGCAGCTAATGTAGTCTTCACTATCTATCAGCACTGGGCTTCTGAGAGATACAGAGGTCTTAGCATACGAGCATTGCACACTTCTTAAGTAGGCAAATTGAGGCATGAAGTAAATGTCCCCTAGGTTCCTCTTCAGAATAGGTGTCTCATGTAAGAAGATATTCTTGACTTTTGTCATCAAGTCATCCCATTTTGCCCTGATAACTTCTCAAGATTTAGCAGAGACTTTGGTTATAAGAAGCACTTCTGGGTTCTGATAGATATTGTTCAGGGAATTGAAGATAAACAACAGGAGCAGTAGGCAAGGTTAGAAAGTGAAGTGGGATAAGTTATAAAAATTTATTCCCCTACGAAATAATTGCACAAGCTGTGTAAACATTTCTTACTAAAACAAAATACTCTGACACACAAAGATTGTACATTTCCAGTGGAACACTCACAGTACAAGATGCCCGTGTTTTCTCTTTCAGGAGCTAAAGCAAGGAGTCTGTAGATGAGTGCTTCCTAGTTACCTTTGGCAGCAAGCTTCTTCACATTCCCTGGCTGCTCAATGGGTTTTGAAAGCAACATACAACATAGTTAAATAGTAAGCCAGGTGGGCAGGGTTCTCAGCCTCTAGTTTCTGTAGCAGTCATTTGTATTCCACCTCAGCTCAGCCACTCACACACTCATACTCACACTCACGTGCACATGGCGGGGTCAGTTTGGATACTCCAGTGCAGCGACTATAACAGACACTAGCTGCTAAGAACGTGTTTGTCACAATCAGTGTGGACTGTATGGAGTAGAGAAACCTCTGGAGTTTGGTTATATTTACCATAATTTATGGTTAAAATTAAAAACTTAAAAGAATGGGATAACATTCAGAAATCAAACCTCAAGTCAAGCAATCACACATATTTACAATATGTACAGGCTCTCTTTTAGAATGGGGAGAGGTGTCTAGACAATGTTATTAGAAATTCCTGAATGTGGGCATTTCTAGTCCCTGTGATTCATAAAGCAAATCTGCTGACTTGGCATTAAGACCCTAAAACAGTGTGATCAAACTGATATATATATATATATATATATTATATATAATTATAATAAGGTGTTTGCAGAAATAACATTTACAAACTGTCTATACAGTACACAGTACTAGTACATAGAAAATAGATTCTAACTTTATAATCCCCTTTGTGTAAGGCAAGACTGAATCTGTCCCCAAATTTAGTCAGCCAGAGGTACAAGCAAGAAACAGTGGTCCATGGAAGAATGATGGGTTAGGTATCTGGGTATTAAAAAGCTGGAGAAATTCCACTTGTTATCTGTGCTGCATCTGGCTCACTGGATCCATTATGCACATTTCTGAAGCCACTGTGTTAAGTGGCAGCTACCCCAAACAGCTTTTGTAGAGTCCAGGATAAAGATGGAGGACTGCAGCTGCACTAGGCCAATTTATGTGGTACTTACAAAAGAATGTGTATTAATACTTGATTGCATGCTATTGCTATTCAAGCAACAGCAGCACAAAATATACAAGACAGATCACAGATGGTTGCAATGTAGCCCCCAGAGATTTTGCTTAAGGACAATATTACAT